TAATCTCATATACAATATGATCATGGCACATGACTCACACATTTGTGCTCGGGACTATTATATTGTAGACTCATTTAACTGAACTGTCTTATTGTGGTTGGGAGTTTAACGGTGTACCGAAGAAAATTGCAATATTGAGACTGCAAACATTGGGGCTTCGCTGTTTTGATACTCCGAGTGGATGGCAAATAGGCCTATCTGTATCTATGAAATGTGGGTCCAGTGTCATTATAGCAAAGATTAATGTTTACAGTATCATTATTGCAAATCTCCCACCGGAAATAGATATAGTGTATATCTGGAAGAAGATTCTATAAATAGATCCCTACCCTCTAGCTAGCTAGCCTCAATATGCATTATGTCTGTGAGTGGCACCATGGAAAATGCAGAGGAATACAGGGTACGTAGGCCGGATAGACACACGAAAACCTAACAAAAACTACAATCAATTTGTGGACCTGGGATTCGAACTCGATCCCGATGGTAGCCAGCTGCGCACACTACGCGCGCTTGTGTTTCATGACTATAAGTTACTTATATACAAGTTACATTATAATTAACTGGAATATATGTAGTTAGAATAATTGTACTATAGTTATATTTGAAATTTTGTTTACAAAAATTAATGTCTCTAGCTAGATACTCCCATTAATTAAGAGTACCATATATATATATATATACAGTGGCGATTCTAGCAGGTAGGCTCCATTAGGTTCTAGCCTACCCTCTAATTTTTGCAAAAAAAAATCAACTAGGTATCCTCAAGCATCAGCCGGAGTCCTGGAGTTCATGGCGATATGTGCTCGGCGCTGGGAAGAAGATGAACAGGGCACATGAGAGAGAAGAAGCGAAGCGGTATGCAGATAAACTAGGTTGGCCCAATTCGATAGTAATGGCCCAGTCCAGTGGCCCACTTCCCACACTTACACACTCACACAGGTCAGGTGGGGACTTAGGGTTGGGGGCGTTTGGGGTGGGGGCTGGCGGCTGGTGGCGACTGGGAGCGGCCGACGCCGACGGCCGACGCGAGTCGCAACTCGCAAGAGCTCGAGGCCTCGAGCTGCAGGCTGCAGCGTCGTAGCTAGCTGTCCGGTGGCGAGTAAGAGCAAGCGTAGGCGGCCGCAGGCGCGAGCGGGGCGCGGAAGCCGGCAGGCTGCAGGCGGAGCGGCCGCGCGGGGAAGCGTCAGCAGGCGCCGTGGCAGCGCGCGGAGCAGCACCACAGCAGCCGCTAGCACTAGCAGAGCAGCAGGCTCAGGATCAGCGGGTCAGGCGGCGTCGCGGCGAGGAGCAGCCAACAGCAGCAGGATAAACTAGCGTCCGGTGAGTCATTGAATAAATGGAATCATGGTCTTGCTGGTTGCTGCCTATTTGGCTGTATTGGTTATTTCTATTATTCTATTCAATTTCTGCAAACTAATCTATTGATTGAGTGGAGCGCATATTTTCAAGCACGAGCATTTCAAGACAGATGTGCACAATAAGATATCGGATGGGTGGCTTATAGATTTGAATTTGATGGTCTGCTATACTGAGCGAGAAATATTCAAAAAAAAATGATGATGACGACGATGATGCAATCATCATAAATATATTCCAAGCATTAGAAACCCATAGAATATCCTTGCCTCTTAAATGAATTACATGTATTTTTTGATTAATGGTAGGCCAAATCTTTCAGTTAATGTTATTTTTCCTTCAATTTATCACTGATTTCTCATATGACTGATGTAAGCAATTACTTCGCATTGGCAAGGTATTTTTCTTTATTTCTTTCTTTTCTATTCAATCATGTATCATGTATGTGTTGAACAGCTACTGTAAGTACTGCAATTTACTTTTTATTAACTTAGTACTTGGAGGTCAAGCCTACCCTCTTTGTCTATCCTGGATTCGCCACTGTGTGTGTGTCTATATATATATATATATATATACCACTTTATTATTCACTACTATTCTTAGTGCTGAATTCACTATTATGAGTACAGAATTACTGTTCACAGGTTACTGTTCACTCGAAAATTTTCTTTAAATTTTTAGGATCTTTGCAGGGTGGCGAATCCAATAACAGCCGGCGCTTGATTTAGAAATTTTAAAGTCCTACTCGGTACTAGCCGTATGCCTCACTTATCTGCCTATTTAAGCAACCATCTTCAGGTATCCCTAGTCATATTTGAACTAGCTAAGCGTTTACCGTCTCCCCAGGCAGTTCCACCCGAGGGGAACACTTCTCTACGGATACTGGTTCTCCAGACGCCTATGCAAGATGCAGGCTAAAAACGAGAACAACCGAGAGGTTTCTCCTATAGGGTCCCTAGCATAAACGCTTATCTAGAGCAAACAAACAGGGAAACTTAAAGAAAATTACTTCATATTAAGCAAATAGGCTTACATACGGTTTTCCCTTTCGGGAACCCCGAAGGTAGATACAAACAAGTTTTTCTCACTTTACAAACCTTTATATTACAACTCCTTGCTTCAATATATATTATGCAAGGTAGGCTAGAGGAACTACTACTAAGAAAGATGGAATGGAGGGTGAGAGCGCGCTTGGAAGCTTTGCTCTGAATGGTGTCTTCGTGGTTGTGTGTCCCCGGAGTGAAGGCCAACGTCTCCTTTTATAGAGGCCAGGGATGGCGTCGCCTGTGCCTCCTGCTTATCTCTTCGCTACTGTATCTTCATGAGAGCTGGCTAAAGTTGAGGCCTTTCCACCGAAAGTTTTATTCTTCACAGGGATATGTCATTCACCGCACCCTATATTGTCCCCTTATACTTTATAGGGTGTCCTTCTGGATTCTTTCTTGGGTAGTCTTCTGAATTTCTTTTATTCTTTCTGAATTTCTTTTATTCTTTTATTCTTCTTCCACGCCCAAATTGTTGATATTCTATTATCAATATATATTGAAAAACATATTTAGCTTATATCAATTTATTCATCTGGTTGCCCATGGTCACCAAGATCCATTGTGTCCAAATCAGAAAAAGAAACTTCTAATTTCTCATCTACTGCCTTTTTTATTTGCTCAAATTTCTGATCCATTTCTTGTTTTAATTCTTTAAGTATTTCTTCCTTCAATTCCTTCTTTAATTGTGGGGAGGCTTCTTCAAATTTTTCTATTATCTTCCAATCAATATATTCCCCATCTAATGGATCCACTCCTTTTGTTAAGCATTCCTTGTATGTGGGTTTTTTAAAAAACCCTTCTTCTTTTATAGTCATCTTAATGGGTATTTCTGAAGTCTTCTTTCCTTTAGCTTTTTTGCATTTTTGAATATATTCTTTTGCAGCAGGCTCTAGATAATAATTTATTCCTAATATTTTTCTAGCTTGGCTTAATGCTTCATCAATATCCTTATATTTCTGGTAATGCCTTAATATTATAGTTAATTTTTAGGTTCTCTAGTTCTACTTCTAGTTTATTTATTCTGTTTTGTAAAACTCGTACTCTACTAGATAATATCCTTTCATCTGATTCTAATTCTATCTCTTTTCTCCATTTTTGTTTATTTGCTTTTATACATTCAGCACAAGCTTGTTTTAAGCATATACTACAGGTTACTCTATTATCTTGGCTTGGGTAATAGATGCAAAAAGCACATTTAATGTTATAATCTCCTTTTCCTCTAATCCAATCATGTTCACAATTTAACTGATCCATCATTTCTATTTTTAAACCGGCTAGTTCGTCAATTAAATCTAACTCTTCATCGGTTGATTCATACCCTTCATATATATATATATATATATATATATATATATATATATAGACACACACACACACATACCTCTGGAATTGGAGGTCGACGATGGACCGCGCAAGTTCACTTATCAGAAACTGTACTGATGCTGAGGTGAGGTTGCTGGAGAAGCGGGCGAAATGGGAGATATGGCGAGTGAACTCTCTGTCAATGGTGAACGCCATGTTGATGGGAGTGGTTGTGGGGATTGGAGCCTATGCCCCGCGCTACCGACACCACCCCTTGACTCGCTTCCTCTTCCAGGGTGCCGCTGCACTCTTCATGCCTATAGTGTCCTATGTTGTCTCTGATAGTACTTTTGTTACCTTTCTCATCCAACCCATTACAACCACAGCGACCTGCAGATGGCTCCTACACACGTTTTGTATCTTACAGTGGACAGTGCTTGTTCAGATTGCCGCTATCAACACCATAACACTAGTGGCAACTGATGCTAGAGAATTAGGACGAAGCATTGCACCATCTGCATTATTGATTATTCATGCAATCTGGACTTGCTACCTGGTCATCTACTTCCTGGGGACGGACCTTGGTAGTGGCAATGATTTTTCAGTCAAAACCATCTCACAGGATATGAGTGATTTTCGTAGAATATTTGTGCTGGTTTCAGCGTGTCTTATGTTTGTCAAATTGGTTTTCAAGTTGGTTGCATTTTTCATGGCCCGACAATCGTTTGCTCTTGGACGGAATCCTCGGCTTGTGCTTGGATACATGAAGGAGAAGGAGAAGGACGTCGTCCTACCATCAGTAATGCATGTAACTGGCGATGATGTGCCTCCTCCGCCACTTTTAGTTATGGGAGAGGACACTGTTAATGTACAAAAAGGGCCCAATAGTTACACTAGTGTAGTTGATAATAATCTACAGCAGAGAGGAGCTGCTGGCTTGGTGAACTTAGATGAAGTTTGGCAGCAAATGGATGACGAGTACACGAATTATTCTCTGACAAGCTGGACACCTGCAGGACACAAACAGCTGAAAGATGTTTGTCTTTCATTTGCATTGTTCAAGCTGTTACGTTGTCGATTCGCAAGGTACACAGCTGATGAGCTCAAGTTTACCTGGGTCGAGAATTTCATTTGGCAAGGCCTGTTGCTGACCAGTAGTACTCATGATGGTGGCAGCAGCAGCAGCAGGAGGGTGTTTAAGGTTATAGCAGATGAGCTCTCATTCATTCACGATTATTACTATGCATCCATCCCTACCTTTTATTCAAACACCTGCTGGCTTCCTATCCTCACCTTCTCTACCTCAGTCTTCACCTTGGCTTACAGCTTACGTCTAGCCGTTTTGTCGACCACTCTTGCTTGCGTGAATTTCTCCAACTCCTTCCAACTATGGTGTACTATGCCATGCAAAGATGTCGGGGCCAGAGATTTCCTTGGGCACTTCAAAAGATTCGAAGATTATTATACATTTGGAAGTCTCACATTTGATCTAGTGCCAGCTATTCTTCTTTGTGTGCTACTTGTGCTTTCCGAGGCGAGGAATATTGCTTCCCTTTTGTTCTCTAACTGGACCAAAGTTGTTGTCATCTGCCGCTACCTGCAACCAACAAATCATCATCACCAGACCACATCTTCGTCTCCTGCTGCTCCTCCAGTTGATATGCCAAGACGACGACGACGACGATCATCATTGGTAATTGGATGCTGAAGCTTATTATTGCGATGCAGTTGCAAGCTGGTGAATAACCCATGGAAGGACAACATCAACCTCTGCTCAATCCTGGACATGCATCGTCCAACAGCAAAGTGGTCGCCGCTGCCGGAGAAAACCAAGATCGTCAAGGTGCCCGACCAAGTGAAGTCCGCCATCGTCGCCAAGCTCAGGAGCAGCAAGGGGAGCCTGCAGCTGACCAAAGCATGCACGGCGTCTCTGCATCTGCAGGGCAGCGACAGCCAGCTGCTCTGGGAGGATGTGACAGCCACAACCGACGTCCTCCTGGTGTGCCACATCGCCACCACCATCCTTGAGGTGAAGTATCCAAATCCAAGTACAACTGCAAGCTCAAGCTCTGACAGCAGCAACAGGGTTGTTGCCACTCACCTGTCAGGCTACTGCGCCTACCTGGTGGCCTGCTGTCCCGAGCTGCTCCCCGACGACGATGGCTGGAGCAAGGACCTGTACAAGGCCGTCAAGGCAGACGCTCGCCGTGCTCTCGCCGCCGGTCGTGCTCCACCGGAGTACGAGAAGCTGGTCCGATTGCTCAGCGCAGGCTGCAGGCACAAGGTGTTAAGGAATGGCGCGCAGCTCGCGGAGCAACTGGTGGCGTTGGTCCAAAACCAACAGGAGGAGGAGGAGGAAGGGAATAAGGCGTGGGGGGTTCTTGCGGAGTTTTGGTCGGAGATCATCCTGTACCTGGCGCCGTCCGACAACCTGGACGCCCACGCGGCGGCGAGCTCATCACGCTGCTCTGGGCGCTGCTCAACCACGCCGGCATCGTCTCCAGGCCCGCCGCCGCCGCCGCCGACAACGAGACTGCGGCTTCTTCATCTGCTGTTTAAGTTTATTTAAGTGCTGGTTAATGCGTGTTTAATTTCTTTGCATGGCTTTGTTGGCTGGCTCTTTGTGTTCGCTACCTTTCTGTGTCTGCTGCTTCTGATTGTTTCCCTTTGATTAATGCCAAGTGTGTGGTTATTTCTGAGTTGGATTGATTCAAAAATTGGACATTAGTTTGTACGTTTCCCTTTGACTAAGCTGCTGACTGCTTTCGTTTTAATTTCTTGATGGATAATAGAATAATGAATTGATTTCCTTTTTCTTTGAAAATCCAGTGATAATCAACAAATACATTACACCCTCCGTTTCAAGTTATAAAATGTTTTAACTTTGGTTAAAATCAAACTGCTTCAAGTATAATAAAGTTTATAAAATAAATAGTAATACTTTCGACCTAAGATTAATTTATTATAAAAACATATTTAATTATTAATTTAATAAAATTAATTTAGTAATATAAATATTATTATATTTGTCTATAACCGACTTCGACCAAACTCAAAGTAATTTATTCGTAACTGTTAGAGAGTTGGGCCTCTCCATGCGCTTTACAGCCCATGCCGCACCTGTAGCTTGTCCGGCGTGGCCGGCCGGTGAAGGAAAAAGTGTACCGAAGGTCCCTCAACTTATCATCGGGATAAAATACGTCCTCGAACCGCAAAACCAGATACACGGGGTATCTTAACTATACAAAACCGATCACCCCGAGATCCTTCGGTGGTTTTGACCACGGTTTTGGTTTACGTGGCGGCTGAGTCAGCGTGGGACCCACGTGTCAGCGTGCCACGTCATCTCTCTCTTTCCCCTTTCTTTTTTTCTCTTCTTTTTTACTTCTCTTTGCGGCAGGGGAGTAGCAAGAACGGGCGGCGGCGAGCAGGGCTGAGCGGCGGGCGGCGGAGGCGGCGTGCGAGCGCGCGGCGGCTGGTGAGCATGGTGGTCGTCGGCGTTGCCATAGTGGTTGTCGGTGTCCTCCTCGTCTCCTCCTCCTCCGCGGCCGGATCCAGCCACGGAGCGGTGCCCGGCGTCCTCCTCCTCCGCCGCCACCACATCGACGGTGTGCCCCGCTTCTCCCTCCCTCGCCAGCCATCGGGATGACGGGACGACCCGCAGCGCTTGCCGCAACCTCCACGGCCACCTCCTGCGCGGCCACGAGCTCCGCGTCGGCCTCGCCGGCCGCCCCAGCAGCAGGCCCCTGGAGGACGGGGTGGCGGAAGGGGCGGCGGTGGGGTTGCCCATGGCCGCTACCCCGCCCGACGCCGCGGCGATGGCCGTGCGCCCGTCGATGGAGCGGACTGCCGTGGCGGTGGCCCCGACATCGGCCTTCTCCTCGGCAGACAGCCGCCCTCCTCGTCGCACGGCATAGCAGCAGGCCAGCAGCGCCGCCCTCCTCCTCCCGCCTCCTCGCCGGCCGCCTCTCTCATCTCCGCACGCGTACGCCTGCACGGTCAGGGACCCGGAGCGCCCGTCGCCGGCGTCCCCAACGGAGAACTCCAGCCTGTACGACAGCCCGGGCACGGTGCTCACCTCCTGCACCATCGCCGTCTCCATGCCGGTCACCAACTCAACCACGCGGGCGCCGCCCGGCACCGCGTAGTGCGCCGTGTCGATGTACTTGACGGACTTGGTGGTCGACAGGATCATCCACGGGGACAGCGACGAGTAGTCGTCCTCGTCCATGGGCGGCACCCAGCACGACTCCGATGGCAGCGCCGCCAGCAGAGCACGGGAACGGCACGATGCCTCTGCTCTGCGCCATCTCGGCCGCGTCGCCGCCGGGTCCCCACGCCACCGCCCCCGTGTCGGCCCCGATCCGCAGCCTCTTGCAGGGATCGGACCCGTTGTTGCCGACCGCGGTCAGCTCCTCCTTCTTGGCAAGCATGGCGTGCAGCACGACGCCCAGGTCGTCGGCAAGCTTGTCGAGGAACGCCTGGATGGAGTAAAAAAAAGAAGAGAAAAAAAAGTGGAAAGAGAGATGACGTGTATCACACTGACATGTGGGGCCCACATGGGTCCCACACTGACTCAGCCGCCACGTAGACCAAAACCGGGGCTAAAACCACCCAAGGATCTCGGGTGACCGGTTTTGTATAGTTAAGGGACCCCGCGTATCTAGTTTTGCGGCTCGAGGATGTTTTTGTATCCCGATGATAAGTTGAGGGACCTTCGGTGCACTTTTTCCGCCGGTGAACTAGGCTTTTCAAGTTAGTGGGCTTCATCTACTAAGCCCGTCATATAGTACGTGGGCTCTAGGCTGGGCCGTTTTAGCAGGCTACGCACACTTGCCAACCAACGAACCAACAAGATATGTCCGTTTTTCAGTTTACCGGTGCAGTTCATTTTTATATGCTGTGCAGCAAACCTCAACAAAAATGTGTGCCGGCTAGCTCCAATGACAAGGAGCTGTATGATGAGTGTATATATATATATATATATATATATGTATATGAAGTTGCATGGAAAATGAACAAACAGCTATACCAGGCGCTTACACACTGTATAGTATTGTACATGTATGATACATATTGCTTATATATACTCCCTCCGTCCCTAAATATTTGACGCCGTTGATTTTTTAAAATATGTTTGACCGTTCGTCTTATTCAAAAACTTTTGTGAAATATGTAAAACTATATGTATACATAAAAGTATATTTAACAATGAATCAAATGATAAGAAAATAATTAATAATTACTTAAATTTTTTGAATAAGACAAACGATCAAACATATTTTAAAAAATTAACGGTGTCAAATACTTGGACGGAGGGAGTACACGAGTACATTTCTCGTTTGATGCATAGACTAGGAGCTCATCACCTACATAGAGAAATAAATGCATGGTGCATACACATCACTACTCAGGCCCTGTTTAGATTCCAACTTTTTTCATCAAACTTTCAACTTTTCCGTTTCAACTTTTCCGTCACATCGAACTTTCCTACACATACAAACTTCCAACTTTTCCGTCACATCATTCCAATTTCTTCAAACTTCCAATTTTGACGTGGAACTAAACACAGCCGTAGCTTCCATTCCTGTTTCGATGGAATTCGGACTGGCTAGCATATTGTGTCCTGCTCGGTATAAAAGTAGTTACACGCACAAATAAAGCGTATCTTTAAGTCTAAATGAAACCGCAAAATAATAAAATCACAAAATATATATATCGAGGCCGATCTTCCCGTGTGTTCACTGAACTAAAAACCTCTGTTCGGGTCTGCTCTGGCTCAAATTACCTAAATCTCTTCTTAATTTAATCCATATCAAGATTTCTCTTCTCCTTGGTATCGGCTAATTAAACTCTAGTTGTTGACACTTGACAGTATCATCTCCCACCAGAGAGACCGGTTATACTCGTTTGCACCGACAGATACTGTCTTAATAAGGGATTCTCATCAAGCTGATCACCTTCAACCTGCATCTCACTGAAACTCCGGATGCTCCGGTAACTCTCCGGCATCGCCGGTAACAGCACATCGCCGCACAAATATTGCATCACAAGCCTCATGCTTGGCCTTGAAGCTGGCGACGGGTGCGAGCAGAGAAGCCCAAGCTTGAGCACTAGCTCTGCCTCCTCCGTCACAAACTCTCCTCCCAACCTGGTATCCAACATGCACAGGATCAGATCTCGCTGCCAGAATCTGAGCACGAAGTCCACCAACACTTGCAATTCTCCTGATGAGTTCATGCCTATCGGGCGACGGCCACAGGCGACCTCGAGGATGAATGCACCGAACGCGAACACGTCGGTTGCCTTGGTCGCCTTGCCCAGCCTCGCTAGTTCAGGGGAGATGTAGCCTCTGGTCCCTGCCACACATGTCGTGTGTGCATCAACTCCATGGTCGTGTAATCGTGCTAGGCCAAAATCGCCTAGTCGACCATTCATCTCACTGTCGAGGAGGACGTTGCTTGCCTTGATATCACGGTGGATGACGACCTGCTCCCATTCTTCGTGTAGGTAGAGAAGACCTGATGCAACACCCTTGATGATCTCAAACCTTTGAATCCAATTCGGCGAGGGTTTATCCTGGTCATACAAGTACTTATCAAGACTGCCATTTGGCATGTACTCATATACTAGTAGAAGTTCACCCTTGCGACGGCAATATCCAAGTAACTGTACTAGGTTCCGATGTCGAAGTCGGCCCATGCTTACAACCTCCGCGACGAACTCCTTCATCCCTTGTTTTGAATCATGGGACATCACCTTGACACCAACCTCCAATTTGGATGATGGAAGCACTCCTTTGTACACCTTCCCGAACCCTCCTACTCCGAGCAACTGCTTGTCAACAAAGCCATTGGTAGCTTTGAACAACTCCTTGAATGAGAACCTATGCGGGCCAAACTCGACCTCCCAATCTTCATGTAACTCCTGGTACCTGCGACATCTTCTCACAATTAGGTAGAGGATAACAGGCATCGATATTGCACCACCAAGAGCTGAGGCATATATCAATGGAAGTGTCAAAAAATCTGGCCAATAAATCGAGCTCCCCCTTCCAGTACCATAGGTGACATGATCAGGTAGATCAGATGTGTTTATCTTGGGTAGCTTGGAGTATTGCAGTGATGCAGGTTTTCCATCTAGCCTGAAGCAGAAGCCGGCAATAAAATGACCATGAGCATGACCACTAATATACAAGGCCGCTGACGACGATGAAGAGAAGCCAACATACATGTGGTCCAACAACAGTTTTGAGAGATTATGAGTTGCAGATAAGAGAGGGCGCTTGGGCTTGGCCATGGGGACTGGAGCTAAGGTGACATTGAGCTGCATGCGCCGGTGGTCGTAATCTATCCATACTTGCATCTCCTCACCACTCTTGAGCCGCAGCGGGTGCAAAATAGAGTAGGGTTCATCTGTGTAGTAGCCGGCTGGAGAGGACTGGGAGGAGTTCAAGCTGTTGATGTTGATGCCAACATGGTTGTCATCGATGTCCCCAAATCTTTCATTGTGTAAGGTATCTAGCTCTATGGACAGGATATGGTCCAACGATTTGCCATTGTCATCTTCAGCAGGAAGACCAAAGTCGCCAGAAATACCTGTTCCGGTGAAGTTGGTGTGTGCAGCTAGGAAGAAGGCAATCCCATCGCCCTCCTCCAAAGGAAGCGTGTGAAGCATAGCGAAGATAAAGGTTGCCGAGAAGGAGAAGATGGAGCCATCTGTGGAGTTGCGCGATTGGATGGGAGAAGGGAAGAAAGCATGGCCTTTTGTGTATGCATATGATGATCCATTGGCCAGCTTGAGGATTCCATTTGGTAAGACGGCAGCTGAACCATCAAGCACCAAACTGCTGTTGCTGAATCCGTTGAACACCAATTTGTCGACCGCCATGGTAAGAGGAATCATCATGAAGAGAACACTAGAGACCAATCTACTGGAAAACATTAGACAAAAGCTGTCCATGTTTATGTAATGTAACCCCAGTTAGGATGATAGCAAATCGATCAGCCAAAAACCATATAGTGTATATGTAGTAGTAGCTAGCTAGCTATCTTATGCAGGCCTGTTTGCTGAAGAAAGTTCAGAGCGAAAAAACTCTGAAGAATTGGTGTGTTTCAGTGTTTACGGCGTGTGGCCTGGGTGGGTGAGTAGGTGAGAGAATAAATAGGATTATTCCTGCAACGGGCCTTCATGCTGTTCAGATGATTAATTTGAGGTCAAAAGCGAAATTAAATGAGCATTGTTAGTGACCAGTAGTACATGCACTTGCCCACGCGAAGGAAACACATACACGGCTTCCTGGCATGTACGCGGAATTGCTCGCTATCGGCCGGGGGAGGGAAAATTTCTGGCGCTAAGCGCACGTGTCCCCCTGGCCCCACCATATGGCTCTGTCCACCTGCCACGTAACTCCACACACCTAATCCGTTGAAACAAATCACACACATATTTTACAAACCCTCTATTAAGGGAATTCGTTTTATTTTTATTCCATAAAAAATGTTTCACCTAGTACACTCATAATGTTTCATTATGTATAGATCTAATATTGTAGTGAATTAAAACATTCTTTTGCAACAAATCAACCATATTGTCGACGTTTGATGTCGCGATTGCGGTATTTGCATAGTATGGGGATCGTTGGCACTAGGATATACGCGAGACTGAGGTAAAAGAGACAAAGACATGGATTTTTATACAGGTTCGGGCCCCTAAATTATCAGGTAATAACCCTACATCCTGTTGGCCGAAGCCGATATTGCTCTTATTCATCATAATCACACCAATACAATATTTGGGATAGCCTATCTAATTGTTGTCGATATGGCGGTCTGAAGGTCTGACTCATAGTCGACAACAGGGTAGTATTCCTCCTCGAGTTCGTGCCCGGCGTGATCAGAGACAGCGCAATGTCTCTCCTATCAGTATCTTGAGACACCGTAGGGGACTAGCCGTGCCTATCTCTGAAGTCGATATCCGGCGTCTTGTCTTGGTGTATGTTGGCTTGTATGTCGATCTTCTGTCTTGATCTATTGTTCCGCGTCGTCTATGGTGGGTGTTGATTGAGGTGGTCGTCCTCTCCTCCTAGGAGGTCTCGTATTTATACCCATAGGTGTCCCCTTGTCAAATTAGAACTAGAGAAACCAATATGGATACAATCCGAGTAGTCCTTGTCATTTCCATATAGAACTCTAGTTGTCTTTCCTTATCCGGAACTCCCTCAATATCTGAAGGTTGTTTCCGTAAAGGACATGGTATGTGATGGGTCCTGCCGAGATTTAGTCAACTACTATTAGGTATGTGGTATCCATAACCCTGACACACATATTGTAGAAACCCTCTATTAAGGGAATTCGTTTTAATTTTTGTTCCACAAAAAATGTTTCACCTAGTGTACTTATAATGTTTCACTATGTATGGATTAAATGTTGCAGTGAATTGAAACATTCTTTCGCTATTTGCTGAAACATTTATTTTTTATATAAGGTGAAACAGCGCCACACAAAATGTTTCACCTAGTGTACTTATAATGTTTCACTATGTATAGATCAAATGTTGCAGTGAGTTGAAACATTCTTTCGCTATTTGCTGAAACATTGTTTTTATATAAGGTGAAACATCGTCCAATTTAAACTATTGAAACATTTTCGATCTACTTAGTGAGACAATTCCGATATACTCGATGGAACACTGTGCAACATTTAAAAATAATTCAATAATAAGCTAATTATTTTTTCATCAGAATATATCCATGTATGGTCTTGTTTTAAAGATTTAATTGCAACGAATTTAATGGTGTAATCGGATCATGATTTGGATAAATAATTTAAGAGAAAAAATAGTTTAAAGTATTTTTGCATGCATGCGTCATGCTGACGTCAGCATGATGTGGGCGCCCGATTTTTCCACTCCTCATCGGGCGCCCGATCGGTAGTCTCGTCCGCAGGTACGTGTCCATGCAGGAAGAAACTACGAATCGAGCGTCCGATCTATGGGAGAAATATCGAACGGCCGCCTCTCATACATAATAATAAAATATCTTGCCCTTTAAAAGAAAAAATAAATCCTGATAATTTACTTTGGTGATTATATATATATATATATATATATATATATATATATAAAACTATTCTACACTCGGGTATAGAATAGCTTTTCTATACCCCCCTCCCTCCAACCCACCTCCCCTCCCCCTAAGGGCCCAAAACCCACCTCCCACCTCAGTCAAAGGCCGGTCAAAGGTCTCCCACGTCGGTCAAATCTCGGTCAAACCCGCCGGTGACTTTCCCCACCACCCCCTCTCTTCTTAGCTCTCGTCTCAGAACGACGTAGTAACGTCTTGTTCATCGTGCAGTAACACCGTGTTTTACTTGCAGTAACAAAATTAAAATTTAGTCATAATATAGCCATGATGGATCTACTTTTGATAAGCACTTTTTTTTTGAACATCATGGTGCAAACAGTTTTTAAAATTAGTAAATGATGTGAGAGATATTACCCTTCAAAGATTTGTTTTGAAAAATTAACTCTCCACAAGCAGTAATACTATATCAAAAGTGTTATTACTGCCTGTTTTGCGTTACTGCAATCACATCATGTCGTTACTACAAGATGTAGTAACGATTATAAGTTTCACAGTAACATAGTGTGCTACTGCAATTACTTGATAACGTTACTACAAGAATATGTGGAATTGGCTCAGTTTACTCGCGGGGCAAAGGGTGGAGAGATATTATCTTCAAAGATTAGTCTTTTAAAATTTAACTCTTCACAAGTAATAATACTATATGAATACTATATCATAAGTGTTACTATCACGATGTTACTGTAAAAAGTATAGTAAAGACTATAAGTTTTGTAGTAACAAAGTGTCTTACTGCATTTTTGGATAGTGTTACTGCATAAACGTGGTAACATGTATCTGTCGTGTAGTAACTCTTTTACTTTTACGTAGTAACAAGTATATGGTTGGCATATAAGACTTTTAACACATATAATTTTTGTTTCAATTCCTGATTTACTATAATTCACCACAATATTACTGTCAAAAGTGCAGTAACGTCATATACATGCAGTAACACTATATTGGAGGGAGGATACCGGTTTTCTTGAGAAGAGAGAGGAAGAACGGTTTCTTGAGGAGGGGAGTACGTAGATGCATTTTGAAGTTTAACCCTCCACATGCAGTAACACCATAGCATCATGGTGGAAACGGTTTTAAATAATATATATCTTGTGAGATATTGCTTTTCAAAGAACATTTTGAACTTTAGCCCTCCACATGCAGTAACAAAATGTATAATTTACAGTAACAATGGCATATACATGCAGTAACATGGTTTTACCAAATGTATAAAATTATTCAAAACACTCATACATCAATTAGACCTCGCTCAAAGCCACCTACAGACTTTACCTATGGCCTACCTATTCGATCTTCATCTCGTAAAATTGACATAGTAACGCTACAATTATCGTGCAGTAACATAGCTACTTGGAAGTAGTAACATAACTACTTGGAAGTAGTAACATGCACCTATCATGTAGTAACACTTATACTTTTGTGCAGTAATAAGTATACGGTTAGCATGTGATGCTTTAACCTATCATGTCAAAACACATCCTTTTTTTGCCCTACCACGCATGTCTCCTCACCCGCCTTGTGTGCACTCTCCTCCCTCGTCCGTACCATTCAATACATTGTTCAAACAAAAACACATAGTAAATTAAATTTAGCACGTGTAAGATACATGGTACAATTTCGTAGTAACCATCATCACGGAATTAAAGTAACATGCTAGGTTACTACACAAAACACAAGTTATTACTGCTATTTAGCACTATATTACTGCACAATTCTAACTAGATATATGTAGCATCCGCTTGAGGGTTTGACCAAGATTGGACAGTTTGTATAGTATCATTTTCATTCTAATATGCTATCACATATTGTTTAGTACGCTATTCAAACAAAAAACAAGGTAGATTATTTCTACCTCCATGAAAGAAGCAAATCAATTCCGTTACAATTTCTTAGTAACATCATCATGGAATTGCAGTAAACTGCAAAACACATATATTGTTGCTGTACGCGGGCACTAACGTTACTGCACAATTTTCACAAGATGAATGTTGCATCCGCTTGGGAGTTTGAACGAGATTACACATCATGGATTCACTTTGACTAGTTAAGCAAAATTGGTGGTGGTTCGTGGCCTCCCATCGCACTCCTAATATTCCCGATTCAAGCAAACACTCACCACCCCTCGCCTCTCACATGTCCTCCTCATCATAAAGCAAACCATTTGTTTTTTCTCTATGTAAAATTTATTGGTTGTTATTACGTTCTTGTGGTAACATTACCAAGCAATTGCAATAACACACTTTTACTGCAAAAGTTGTAGTAGTTACTGCACTCTCGCAGTAACACGGATCAAATGGTAGTAACAATAATGCTATAGTGTTACTACATGTGGAGGATTAAACTTCAAAATGCTAACCTTTGAAGAGCAATATCTCGCAAAATATGCATTATTTTTTAAAACCGTTTGCGCCATGATGCTAGAAAAAAAAGTACTTGTTAAAAGTAGATCCGTCATGACTATATTTTAACTATATTTTACCGTTGTTACTGCAAGTAAACTACGGCGTTACTACACAATGACCGTCACGTTACTGCACCGTCTCTGCGAGACGAGAGCTGAAAAAGGGTGGGTGATGGGAGAAGTCACAGGCGGATTTGACCTGAGGTTTGACCGACGTGGAAGCACTTTGACTAGCCTTAGACTAATGTGGGAGATAGATTTGGCCCTTAGAAGGGGGGTATAGAATAGCTATTCTATACTCCGGGTGTAGAATAGTCTTTTATATATATATATATATATATATATATATATATATATATATATATATATATATATATATATATATTCGACATGTATAATAATAAAATCCAGTTAAGATTTTAAAAACACCATTAATAATTTCTAACATACTTATTCTAAAACCATAAAAATAGCATATTGTTTTGCATTGAAAATGACTATTACAAAAACATAAATTTTTAATGTAAAATTATGGTCAAAGTCAAATTAATTTTGAAGAACATAAAACCGTCAAACATTAAATATTTATTTAAGTAGTACTAGCTTGTAGCTACAGTAGATTAGCTCATCATACAAGTCTACCCATCATCACACACTAGCAATTATTATCTAGAGTATTTTAAATCATATGTAAGTGTGCCACATAATTATTATACATAGTATTTTAAATATAATGCAAATATAAATATTATCTATAATTTTTTTGTATTTTTAGAACTCAATATGCAGACAATGTCAAATCATTATCTTCTCATAATTTTTATATTATTTAAATATATATATATATCTACCACTTCCATAATGTATAACATATAACATGTATTCATCCACATATCCTGCAGCAAAGCGTGGAATATCAACAAACTAGTTATCTATATTACTAATAACTGGAATTCTTACCCTCGGGCCACTCTCAAATTAACTAGTGGACACCCCGCGCTTTGCTGCGGGATAGTTGTGTAGACAAATAACTTTGAAAAGATGTGTGCACTACATAAAAGAGCTAACCATAAGTTTTATTAAAAGTCAACAAAGATTTTATCTTTATGCATACAGATCAAACATCAGCACACGAAATAAATAGTTGGAACTGAAGGTTATTTTAAAAAGGAAATACTGATCTTTGAATTCCTATTTAGCGCATTCGCTTCCTGTCAAGAAACTTACGGTTGGTCTGAATCTTCTCTTAATCAACGACTAATTAGGATAAATTTGTAGATAATATGGTCATGTACATGCATCCTGCAATTTCTCAGATCAAATATAATGTATATGAAAAATCATCCTGAAGCAAATGTGAAATTAACAGTAGTAAATGTGTGTAGGATAGAAATGGACTTACCATCCGATCGATCTGCCTTGTTTGGCTATTTTGGCACAATCTAGTTGACTACCAGGATACCAGCTTCATCCTGTAGAGAAAATGCTGATACATACTCCTAGTTAGAGAATTTGTAAGTACAGCTATATTAAAATTAGAAGGGTTAACTCTTCAATTCACATAGTCAAGAAAAGATGAATGAAGACCAAGATGTGGCAGTAGCACTCAAAGTGAGGAATCGAAGGCGAGTAGTAACCTGTGATTGCTCTAGCAAACCATACTCTGAAGAAAGGAAGGAAGCAGCCGCTAGAGTAACATTACGCCATTACCTAGGGATGGAAGAAACAGATCCTGCGAGAGGAAGATATAGCCGCCAGTTTTGTGAGCCAGCCAGCTAGGGAATACTGATCGTTCAGATCAAAATCCAACGGCCTACTTAATTTTGATGACGTGGCTTACTGTGGGATCAGCTTTATAGCAATGAATGAGTTAAGTGCATACCAACTATACAGAAGAAAGAAGGGATTAGGTAGGCAAACAAACAAAGATGACAGAGTGATGTTTACGGTTTATGAGAAGGTGCATAGAAATAGAATCACACTATTTTTCCTCCGTACCCAAAAAGCAAATTAAAGCTAACATTTGATATGATATAATCTAAACAGCTATTTAAATTTATTATACTAAGATATGTCATATCAAATCCTAAATTAATTTTTTTTGGACGGATGATATATATCTCTGTCCCAAAATATAAAGATCTAGGACCGAATACTGATTCGTAGTAGTACAGTATATCCTAACCAAACCTAGATTCAAGTATTTTGGAAATTGGGACCGAGGGAGAAAGTCTGTAAAAATAGTGTGATGGCATGGTCGGTAAAACGAAAAGGCCGAGACAGGAGGCCTGGCTGACTCGTGCAAGGCCGTACAACTCAGATGATCACGTGTGACTGAATCTGCATGCTTGCAAACGCCCCGGCCCCTACTAGGATGTCTTGTGTACCCGCCGGGCTCCACTTTGTCTTCATGTGTCTTCTTTCACTTGTCCTTCCATGTAAGAGCAAGTTTAATACAATAGCTCACTACTTGCTATAAGTTAATGTTAGAGTTAACTTGTATAATAAATTAGCTATAAGTTTAACTTTATTTTTTCCATTCTCTCTCTTTCTCACTCTATGAATTTAATTCATATTTCTTGGAGCTTATGTGAAGCTGGCTCTTGTATAAGAGCCAACACTACCCACTTTTCTTTATCTTTCTCTTTCATATAAGCATATAGCTTGCTTATAGCCCATTATTATCCTTGCTCTAATTGTAAGTTGAGCACAAATCACTAAACCCATAGGGACAATAAGCTGCTTATAGCTTCTTCTCAGAGAAACAAAATCACTAAATCCATGGTCTATGCCACAAGTCACGCGATTTTGAACATGATATACGCTCTTGGTCTCTTGGACCTCTCTCTCTCCATGTGTGGTGTCCTGTTCTTTTCGGATTATTTACGGGATCATTGAAATGGATTATTTGCTTCATACATTAAAAGATATATTTTTTAAAAAGATATATTTTCTTGTATTGCATTACTTACCACTTAATTTAAGTTGTTTGTTAAGTTTATTTATTAAAATTTTAAGTTGCCTGGTAATTAATTAGATATTTCACGATAATAATCCGCTCAATAATCTGAATCAAATGGGCCGTAACCTCCTTAACTCACTTATGGATCACTTGACTAAAGGAGGATGTTCCCTATTCCTTAATTGAGAGAATCTATTCTATACCATCGAGTTTGTTCGAGTTCAACTATTTGTCATCAACATTATCTCTTTCTATAATATACCGACGACTTTAGCAATTGTTCTATGATATGCCATTGGGCTGGACCTTCTTTTCAAAAATACCTAAAATACCCTTAGAGACATACAAGATAAACAATTGATTTATCTCATTAGAAGTTTCAAAAAAATATGAAAATTTTTATGTGGCCTCCTTACACAACATGGAAGTTTGTATACAAGTTTTAAATTTTTTTTGGTATATTTATATTTTTACAAAAAATATTTTTACGTGGTATATGAGATAAATCGCTTATAAAGGAGATGATAGCATAAAAATATCTTATGTAGTGTGTGAAATATGATTTATATTAAAAACAATAATAAAAAATATTTTTATATACAATATAACATATAAGTTATAATTTAAAAAAAGAAATGTAAAAAACTTGAAACTCCTATAAAAATTTCCATGTTGTGTAAAGAGGCCACATAAAAGTTTTCATATTTTTTTGGAATTTCTAGTGAGATAAATCAATTGTTAACCTTGTATGTTCATAAGGGTATTTTGGGTATTTTTGAAAAGAATGTCCAACCTAGTGACGTATTGTAGAACAATTGATAAAGTGGCCGGTATATTATAGAAAGATACAATGTCGATGGCAAATAATTGAACTCACACAAACTCAGTGGTATAGAATAGATTATCTCTTCTTAATTCACCTCTCCGAACCTTGCTGAGCTATAAAACTTCTATATAACTTTGATATAGATTATCTCTATCCTAGGTTGCTTGAAAAATACAAAAGAAAAAAAATAAAATTCAGAAGAGACTAGGAACTTGTAGCGAATATTTGACCCCTAAACAATTTGAAATGAAAAGCCTTTCGACTTCAAAGTAATACAACTCGTCTAGGGCTAAAGTTTTCATATAAAATTTATCCCATTTAACTTCATATGAAAATGTTATGATTATTTTTATTGAAATACGGTTGTTTATATTTCCAGAGACAGTGGTCTTAAGTAACCGCATCTAAAAGAAAATCCATTTTTTAAAAATAAACTATTTTTAAATAGTACTCCGCCCATGATATAATTAGACAACATATCCTATATATGCACACAAGATCTCACATGTACACACATGCACACCAACTAACAAATGTCACCAAAAAATTTAGAAAAAATTCATACATATACTTTCAATTGTATTACACCTAGGAATAAAATCGTAACCTCAAATTTATTATATTTTAGCCTAAAAAAATCTTACAATTTTGAGGTTGTAATTCTGTCAGGATTTTGTTTTTTTTTACTCTCTATGTAAAATGATTTTGGAGATGCGACTTTGCATGTAGATGTAATACTCCTTCCGTTTCAGGTTATAAGACATTTTAATTTTGATCAAAGTCAAACTGTTTTAAGTTTGACTAAGTTTATAGATAATATAATAATATTTATAATACTACATTAGTTTCATCAAATCAATAATTGAATATATTTTCATAATAAATTTGCCTTGGATTAAAAATGTTACTACTTTATTCTACAAACTTGGTCAAACTTAAAACAGTTTGACTTTGACTAAAGTCAAAACGTTTTATAACCTAAAACGGAAGGAGTACGAAAGTACATGTATGAATTTTTCTAGAATTTTTTGTGATAATTTTTAGTTGGTATACACAGTGTGTACATGTGAGAGCCCGTGTGCATAGGCTACGCTTCCGATGTAATTAATCATATCTCGTAGTTTTTGCAGATATTATTGTGATGCCTCTAAGAATTTACTATAGTAGTTTACAAAAATCATGTACAATGATGCAATGGTATAGAGAATCCTACAAGCCACTGACAAAAATTAAATTTAAAACTTAATTTTGAAGTTGAATTTAAGGTTATTCCATTACATTTTATTTCTCGTTCAATCAATAAGGACGGATATAAACGTTTTTACCCATAATCAGCGTTCGACCAACCGACTACATTTTAAAATTTAAGGTGATTGAATTAAGAAAGTAGTGCTCCAAAAATACTTATGCATGTGAATCAAAATATCAAATGCCTAGAAATGCTCCTATATATCTGAAGTAATGAACATTGGAATGGCATGGTGCAGCATGTAGCGATGGGCCGATGGCAGTGACCAGTCCAGCCGTGCCATGAAAGGGAGAGCACACCTGACCAGACCAGACCAGATCAATGCATGCATCTATCTACTCCTACTATCTCTCTATCTGCATCTACTCTAGCTAAGTGCCTGTTTGGGGAGTTTAAAATTCTGAGAAGCAGCGAGAAGCTAGCTGGTGAGAATCTGGAGAAGCTGGGTAAGCTGGGAAACCCAGCTTCTGTCTTCTAGTTCATTTTCCAGATTCTACAACTACAGATTCTTAGAACTTGGGTAAAAAGCTAGACTGTTTGGAGAAGCTGCAGCTGCTAGAAGCTCCCAAAACAAACCCTAAATGTTGCTGCTCACATTGTCACATGCATGGACGATGGATGGACACACACCTGTTCGATCTGCCTCTGCATGATGTGCAAATCTGCATCATCCCATCCACCGGGCTAGCAGCCATGGCTCTGGTCAAGCTCTCTCTCTCTGCCTCCCTGGCCTGGCCTCCTGCTTTTCTAGTGGTCCGCCATTGCTTGCTGCAGAAAGGTCCAATCATCACAAAACTTTTCTTATTCTACCTTTCTATTTTTTTTTCTTTTAATTTCTTTGTCAATGCATTTCCTTCAATCCTCCCTATGAATGAGCAAGTTAACAAAACCAGTCGGTTTTCGTGAAACTGTTGGTTGTCAATTCGTGGAAATCGATTAGTTTTAGCTGGTTTCGTGCAATGTTAATAGAAAGTCATCGTTTTTTACCTGTTTTTAGTTGGTTTTGATAAACCGGAAGGGAGCGGTTTTCACTTTGGAAACTGAAAGGTAAACCCTGGATAGGAGTACTAACTTGTTGTATAATCAGCATTTTGTGGACACGCGCCTTTTCTTCAAGTACACCAACAATTGAGAGTGTTTCCTAGGCTTTATCCTCAGTTTGAATTATTTTTATATGCTGTTTGTAGTAATATTATTGCATTTGTTGAACAAATATGATGCCTTCTGATTAATATTGAATAAGAAAACATATATGTATATATATATTTATTTCACTGTAGCAATGACAACTACCTAACACTGGTCTGGTGTACTGTCTGCTGTTCTCTCACACTCACACAATTAGAGAGAGAGAGAGAGAGAGAGAGCAGAGCAGATGTTTGTCCCTACCATGCCTCATGGCTCATTTCATTGGCTTGAATGCACACAACAATTTAATATCCTGTGCCTCCAAGTCAGGGCCAAATCAAAATGCATTCAATGCCTAAATCAGGCATTCATTCATTCATTCATTTTCACAAAATTGCTGCCTAAATGTACAACAAACATGCAGCTTTTCATCTCCATCTCCCCACATTTTCAATCTCTGGCCTAGATAGAAATCAAAAGGAGGAAGTAGCTACTAGCTAGTAGTAGAACAACAAAGAAAGAAAAATTCAGATGAACAAGCAGAGGAGCAAGTTGTTTACATTTTTGCACAATGTTGAAGTGATCTGCCATGAGTTGGAACATTATGGATCAAGGATGATGCCACCACACTTGCATTTCCAGCTCAATGGCTTGTAGTTTGAGAGGCCATTCACCCTGTAGGTGAACACTGCAGCACTGATGGCAGTAGCACTCACCACCACATGCTGTTCTTGCTCGGCAGCAGCAGCAGCAGCAGCTTTGGTTTGTGTCTTCTGAATCACCTGTGGCACAATGGGCACTTGCACTGCCTCACAGTGGCCACAGGACATGCACACCCTCTCACACCTTGGTGGCCTTGATCCTATCAGCCTCCTCCCTTCCATCTCCATCTCCATCTTCTCTCCAATGGTTTCATCAGGCTCCTCCTACTCAACATCACACACATATGCAAACTCAGATTGATTGAAAGGAAAACAATGTGGCAGAAGCAAGAACTCATTTGGTTGGTTGTTTGATTGATTACCTTGATGTTGCCAACTTCTAGAAGCTTCAGTGGCAACCTCCCTATGCATATGAAGAAGTACAAATATGGTTGAGTGAGAAGCTAATGCTAGAAAGAAAGCAAAAAGAGAGAGGGATCTTGGTATCTTACTTGCATCTGAATGTGCCACCTCCATGGAGAAGATGAGGAGGAGGATGGAGAAGAAGAGAGGCAGGGGCAAGTGAGCATGGGTGCATGGCAAGAGATGGACCATCTGGTGTGCAGTTGCTTGAACCTTCTTCTTCCCTCACCTAAATCAGGCAGTGGCTGAATGCCTGAATCTGAATGAACAACTGTATGTAGTTACAGCTAGCTATATGGATGGATGGATCTCTCCAACAGCAAAGCTGATCTGGATCCCCACCTCACACAGCTGCAACCTAAGCTAAGCTAGGCTTGTGTGTAGTGTACTACAATGTTAGTAGGTTGGATAGGTTGGGGGCAAGCAGAGTAGCTGAGCTAGGCAGTAGCAAGAACAGGAGTAGTAGTTGAGGAAGAAGAAGATAGGGTGTTTGGTTTTGCAGCTACTGGGAGTGAGAGGAGTGAAATGAAGAGGCCAATTGGTGAGGCAGGTGGCTGGTGTTTCCAGGTGTCATGGAGGTGAGTGAGTGCAGCATTGATAAACCTCATGTGGTGAGTGGTGAGAGGTGAGTGTGTGTGATCAGGCAGAGCAGCAGTAGTGCAGTGCAGTACCAGTGTGTGTGCTGCTGGAGTAATGTGGATTGTGGAGAGTAGCTGCTGAATTTATTTGTGTTGGTAGTGTTGGCAGAGTGCGCGTGTGCGTGTCGTACGTGACAACCCTCAGCTTACTAATACCAGTACCAATTTGTTTTTGCTGATAGGACTGTCTTCTAGCAGTAGTTGAGCCTGATGATCAGCTGAAATTATTAATTAAAGCGCTAGTTAGCATCAGCAAAAGAGAGATAAAAGCAGATTAGTGAAGAATAGGAACGCCACAATTTTTAGTTTTTTTTAATGGAACTGTTTAGTTTCAAGTAACCTGAAAGTATCAAAAAAAAATTAGTCACGTTTGGACGGCTTAGATTGCACCGAGATTCATGCAGCACATGAAACCCTATCTTCCCCTCTACCCTCTCTCCCCCGATTCCACAATGCGTCGACCAGATTGAGCCACTCGCACTACGACAACATCTCCCTATCCCCAATTCGCTACTTCCTAGTCCCACTGCTAACAATGAGCGCTGCCTGTGCCTATCGCTTCCCTCTTCCCACCCCTCCCCCCTCTCACCCCTCTCATATTCTCCTCCCCAAATAGTGTGGCAAATATTCCCCTACCTCGCTCGTCTTCCATGTTTCCGATAGCTCGCACCACCAAGACATCCTCGTCGCTAACCTCGCCCACCACTTTCCTGATCTAGCCCCATAGCTCCCGTGGCGGCAACGGCGCCTCTTGCCCACTGCTGATTCGCCTTCTTCCCATCCATCCCACTAATCCCCGAGAAACCACCCTATTCCCATGGTCTCTCTCTCCATCATCTAAAGGTTGAAGACGATGTTATATTTCAATTCAATGAGATTTGGGGAAACTTCAGTCACCCGAAATTTAGCGTATACTATTTTTTTTAAGAAAAAGAATTTTGTCATGATTATAGAGGGGAGCGTCAGGATCTCCGAATCCCCATGATGTTCCTGTGACTTCCATGTCGCTCGCCCTAGCTGTGCCAGCCTGTGCGCGCGGGGGCTCCCCGGCCGCTTCTCGCTTGTGTTGCCGCCGCCAGCGAGGCCGCCGGTGATGGTAGTGCTGGCGACGGCGGCGGCTCCCTACCTCTTCCCGTCTCCTTCTTCATCCTTTCTCTTCTCTCCCTCCCTCCTTTTCTCCAGATCTGGGGTGTCCGGCGGCTTGCCTCCTCCACCCAGCGCCAGTGGCCTTCGTCCTCGGGCTAGCGGCGTCTCCTCTCCCGGTTCGACGACGAGGGCCGCGCGGGGACGGTCGGATCTGGCCGCGTAGGCCCAGATCCGGCACCTCTCCTGCAGCTCCGCAGGTCCTGGCGTGAGGCCAGTGCAAACCGACGGTGGTGGAGTTCGGGTGGCGCCGGCAAGCTCCGCCGGTCCGGCGTGGTGGCTGAGCAGGTCGTCAACAATGTGCAGGTGGTTGTGTGCATATAACAGATACCTTCGATGTGCAAGTGGCATTTGGTGGCTTCCATTGCGGTTACTTTGTTTGGATGAGACTCCAAGGTGAAAGCCTTACTCGGCTTGCTGATGCTAACAACGGTGACGCTCTCATGCACCGTTCACCTTCTTGAAGGCATTGCTATTGGAGCCCTCATTCAACTCCACATCAAGGGGTTTCTCCGGGTGAAAATCCTAGATTCGTAGGATCGGACAATGTCGCCGTTCGGTCGGCGTGTCCTTCTTGAGGGCATCGTTTTAGGAGTTTTTTCCTTAATGGACGGCTGTCCTTAGTTTTTAGGTTTAGTCTGTCAATGCTAGAGTTTTCGTTGGTTTTCCACAAATTAACCATACTGTTGTAAGGTTTTTGGGTCTGGTTTTCCTTATAAACTAGATCAATTCTCTTCTTCTATAATGAATTGCATGAACTCCTTGCCTGTTCCCTCGGGAAAAAAGAAAGAGTCGACAAAGCGAGTAAAACCTAATACTGACTTGCTACTTTGCTAGCATAACAGATGGATCTGCAACATTGTCAAAAATGGTGAGCATATAAAACTGTACCACTGAAATCATCATCAGGAGAGGAGGGCAAGACAGGCTGGAAGTGTAGTGCCAGATTAAAGGAGCAAAAGCCATGAACACATCGACACGTACAACAAAAAGGACGTGAGAATTGAGAGAGAGAGAGAGAGCTGGGAGATGAACATGACCACTTGATTGATTGAGTCCAGGATGACATGATCCAAGAAAGAGCAAAGGTGGTTGTGGGGGATTCTCCCCGGATGCCGACAATCTGCACACAGCTAAGCTACCTAGCTAGCTCACCCCCCACCATCAGTCCCCCACTGCACTGTACTAATACTGCTACTCCTACTTTCTTTCAATTCAATTTCTTCTTTGACAGCAAGATCATATTCATATCTGCTTTTCTTTACTTCACTTTACTGCGAGTCCATCACACATTCACTCACAGTCACCTACTGTTCCCCATTCTTCTTCTTCTCTCTGCCAATTTCTTCCTCCTGCCAAATGAGATCTGTTTCGGAATTTCTCGGAGCAGAGCATAGTACATTACTACAATGAGGCCTAGTTTAGATCCAAACTATTTCTTCAAACTTCCAACTTTTCCATCACATCAAAACTTTCCTACATACACAAACTTTCAATTTTTCTATCACATCGTTCCAATTTCAACCAAACTTTCAATTTTGACGTAAACTAAACACACCCTGAGATGCACTTTGGATTACACTAGTGCTTATTTTCATCAGTCTGGGCCTGCAGATTAATTGGACAGTCGATCAGGCTCATGTCTACATATCATGTGTCTGCATTATCTGTCTCTGTTAATTAAGGCTGATCTGTTTTTCTTTTCTTAGCTAAGGTTCATTCCCTAGATCTGGAGTGGTCTCCACTGTCGAAATTCACCGTCAACAATGGTTTGGGCCCCGGCTTGTTGCTTTGGTTCACAAGACCAAAAAAATTAAAAGAGAGGAAAAGGCCTTTTTTTTTTTAGTTTTTACCTTCAACCCAAAATATGGTTTTAGAATGTGTTGGCAAACTGTTTTGTTTGACCATCAATGTTGTGTAGACTGGAGACGTAATGTTGTTGTTGTTGTATTCATCAGGAAAAATACTTTCATAACATGTAGCCACTGCTAAAATTTTAATTATAAAACTTAGCTTTAGAGTTGATTTTGATTTTTTTTAATGTAGTCTATTTTTGAACCGTGGCTTTTAAATCTCTAATAGAAGATATTTGCTCTGGTTCAACAAAAAGTACCTCGAGGTAGCGGTAACTTACGGTACTAAATCCTTTCCGATCATTGAATCTAACAATGCCCATTCTGCTCAGCTAGATCCAACGATCGGAAACGATTTAGTACCGTAAGGTACCGTTATCTCGAGGTATTTTTTGTTGGACCGGAATAAATCTCCTAATAGAAACATACATAAAAGTTTTATTCATTAACTGTTTTTCAGTTGCTTCGCTCATTTTTCTAAGGCTAATCAACTATAGTTCAACCGATCAAAGCCTATAGTTTTCTAGAAATTGGTACTCAGATCAAATTGCCTGCTTTATAGACCTTGTCAATACTCTCAATGACTTGCATTTTGGATAGGAAGGGGTATTTGTGTGAAATCAAGGTGTTGATTTAATCTATATAGTGCACAAATTGATAAATACACACTTATCACTAAAATCGTAAATAAATCATATGATATATGACCAATATACCCTTCAAGGAAGGAGGACGGCTGAAGCGAAGAGGAACGAATGAGAAGGGCGAGGAAGGAAAGTGGATGAGTATGCGGATATTATGGTGCGTGAAATTGTCAACTTGGTCATCCATATTATTGTCCTTGGACATTCCATTTTCGACGTCTTCTTTCTTTTCCTTTTCTTTATCAATTATTGACTGTAGAATAATATCCTTAATTTTGTAACTTTATTTGCTCTCGATAAGCTTAGCAGCCCCACATGCTATGAAGTTGACCATTGAATGGTCTCCAAATTATTGATAAGCCAAACCCCCAGAGATGGTCTTAGGAAAACCGTTTCTCTATTCTATAGGAATCTTTGACTACGAAACTACTGTTCTTTTTTCGACTAATTGCACATGTCCAATATACCTGGTAATCACTAAAAAGAAAAGAAACACTACTGTGACTGAATCACCTTATGAAGTATCAAAACTATTTGGGAGCAAAATGTTTTGACAAATTATATGCTGAAAAGACTTGTTCCTTCTGTGAATTAAGGATTAGTTTGGAGAAATATGATTGGATGGATGTCGTTATAATTCTGAATAGACTGAACCATCGATACATAGTCTCTTGTTTGTTCCATTCATTTTTTTTCTAGAATGCTAAGTAATTTGTTATATTTGTGATGACCAGTCAGAGTTGAGCAACTCGTGCTAGATCATAGCTCAAGCTCAACTCGAACTAGAAAATTATGACTTAATGATGCAAAGATAACTTAATTTTAATCCAATGGCGTGTTCCCACGTTGAGTTAGATTATGAGGAGGACATAAACGTGTATGATTAGCCATGGTCACTGATTTTGAAAGGACTGAACTAATGTACTTGCATGACCATATTCTTCAGCGTTGATCGAGTAATTAACAGTCATAAACAGCTCAGGTACGGTTCAGAACTGGAATAAAATAGTGCAACTTCTACTGTATATATATTCTGCCTTAATTATAGACTGCAACTGCAGGCAACAAACCACCTGCACCATGGCTTGAAGCAAACTAGCTTCATCCGTTTTCCAGAGCAATGGGTGGCATCAAAATCATAACCAAAACATTCTTTCTCTTCCTTGCTCTCAGCCATAAGTTCTTCGCTGCTGCTGGAGAAGAGGAGCGATTCCTCTACTCTGGCTTCTCTGGCACCGACATCCTCGTCAACGGTATGGCCATGGTCACCCCAAATGGCCTCCTCCAGCTCACCAATGGCATGGCACAGTCCAAAGGTCATGCGATCCACCCAACACCACTGCGCTTCCACGAGCATGGTTCCAATGGTACGAGGGTGCGATCCTTCTCCGCCTCTTTCGTGTTTGCCATCCGTTCTATCGCCCCCGGAGTGAGCGCGCAGGGCCTCACCTTCTTCGTCTCCCCGACCAAGAACTTCTCAAGAGCCTTCTCCAACCAGTTTCTTGGCCTCCTCAACAAGAAGAACAACGGCAACACAAGCAACCATATCTTTGCCGTTGAGCTTGACACCGTTCTAAACAACGATATGCAAGACATCAATGACAACCATGTTGGCATCGACATCAATGATCTTAGGTCCGTGGATTCCTACAACGCTGGCTATTATGATGACAAGAATGGTACCTTCTGCAACCTAACTCTTGCTTCTTTCGATGCAATGCAAGTATGGGTGGACTACAATGGCGAGAGGAAGTTAATCAGTGTGACCTTGGCCCCTCTTCATATGGCCAAACCAGCAAGGGCATTGCTTACAACCACTTATGACCTATCACAGGTTCTCAAGAATCAATCATATGTTGGTTTTTCATCCTCAACGGGTATTCTTGATACACATCACTACGTGCTTGGTTGTAGTTTTGGTATGAACCAACCAGCTCCGGTCATCGATGTCAAGAAACTACCAAAGCTGCCTCGTTTAGGCCCAAAGCCACAATCCAAGTTATTGATAATCATCCTTCCTGTAGCTACTGCAACATTAGTACTTGCTATTGTTAGTGGCATAGTTGTACTTAGACGACGGCAAATGAGGTATGCTGAGCTGCGCGAAGATTGGGAAGTTGAATTTGGTCCTCACCGGTTCTCTTACAAGGACCTATTCCATGCTACGGAAGGGTTCAAAGACAAACACTTGCTTGGCATCGGAGGATTTGGGAGAGTGTACAAGGGAGTGCTTACAAAATCAAAGTCGGAAGTTGCAGTGAAAAGAGTGTCACATGAATCAAGGCAAGGAATGAGGGAGTTCATTGCTGAGGTTGTTAGTATTGGCCGCCTTCGTCACAAGAATATTGTGCAACTACATGGCTACTGTCGACGTAAAGGAGAGCTTCTATTGGTGTACGATCATATGCCAAATGGAAGCCTTGATAAATACTTGCACAACCATGATAACCAACAAAACCTAGATTGGTCTCAAAGGTTCCACATCATCAAAGGAGTTGCATCTGGCCTACTCTATCTCCATGAGGATTGGGAGAAAGTTGTTGTCCACCGAGATATCAAGGCAAGCAACGTGCTTGTTGATGCAGAGATGAATGGTCGGCTAGGCGACTTTGGCCTTGCAAGATTATATGACCATGGCAGTGACCCACAAACTACACATGTGGTTGGCACCATGGGATACATAGCTCCAGAGCTAGCACGCATGGGCAGGGCCTCTGTTCTCACCGATGTGTTTGCATTTGGCATGTTCCTTCTTGAGGTGACATGTGGACGAAGACCCATTATGCAAAGTGAAGAGCAAGATTGCCCTATCATGTTGGTTGATTTGGTGCTTCTACATTGGCGCAATGAATCACTTATTGATGTCGTCGACAAGAGGCTTCAAAATGAATACAATATTGATGAGGCATGCCTAGCACTAAAGCTAGGGCTGCTATGCTCACATTCCTTGCCTAGTGCAAGGCCCAACATGAGGCAAGTCATGCAATTCTTGGATGGCGATATATCATTCCCAGATGAGGTATTGGCACAACTCCTAAGCCATGAAGGGCAGGAGCATATCATCGTGTCTTCTCCGCCACCGTCGACAAGCTTTGGTACAGTATCAACTGACCTCTCCGGAGGAAGATAAGCTCTCAATGCAAGTTTGCTCAAACCTAACATGGACTTTAGTCAAAATCAACCGAAGCCTCCGTTGGGACAATACGAAGTAGACAACATAGCCCTCCACTTAATTTTTTTTAGATAATTGGACTTCATATCTTAACATTTTTATAATTTTATAATATAGAATTTACACACATAGGAAATAGGCCTCTCAACATGTGTTTTTCTTTGTTAGTACTAGTTGTTATTTGCATAGTTGATAGTTGCTAGAAAAATTTTGAGCACCGTTGAGGGAAATCTAACGTATGTAACATTATTTATGTACTTGTAGTTATCTCGCTCCTATTTTTTTTTGTTTTTGTTCACACTAAATGCCTAGTCGGATTGGAGAAATTTTAGCAAGAATTAATTTTGGAGGAACCGAACATTTCCTTTAAAAATCCTGTAAAATTCCTGTGTTCTGATAAAGCCATGAACAGCTCAGCTGCGAGTTCCTTCTTCCATCTTCAAGCCGTCGTTCGTCCCCATCTGCCACTATTCATGGGGGTGAACCGATTCTAACGTGAAGGCGATCGATGGCCTCTGGTCAGTCTATCCATATGTCCTCAGTCTCACGGAGGTGAACAGGCAGTCTGTTTTGACTGTGGAGCCATACTTGTAACTGGGAGACCTGTACTCAGAAGATTGATCAGGCAATTGTATCTGAAAGTTCAGGCTGATGTGCATGTTAATTTGGCTTTAAAAAAAGCTACCCCAATTTTCAATAACTGAACCATAACTATTACTATTTCAACTTTGATCGATAATTACTCTTAAATGGTTATACTACAACGAATGAGAGCATCTTGGTTATATTTAAGATGAAATACAGTTTGTATCTTTTGTAATATTTGTATTTTTTTAAAAAAAAGGACGAGGGATCAAAGTCTTTTTTTAGAAAATGGATTAGAAAACCCGGCTCTGAAGGAGGATGTACACAGCCAAGACTGATCAAAGTTTGAAAATGAATAGTGCCCACTATCTATTATATGAAAACGAAGGTAGTATCTGTGATCTTGTGTCTTGTCCATCTTTTCCCTTTTGTTTTCTTTTTAGTTAAATGGGCTTTGTGTTGTTTAATTGAACATCTGTGGGCTTGTCCATGTTTTTAGTTCTCACTTCTCATGGTACGGAAGGCCCTAAATTCTGAAATTTCGATGGGCCTTCTATCTAGATTGCGCATATTCGGCTATAATTAAGAATTATATGCTACCACCCAAATATATAGCCGAACCAAACAGGAGGACAGTTAATTTACTCCATCCAATTAAAGAAAAATGTTGTTTCATACTTTTGGGAGTCAATAGAGCATAACTTTGATCATGTAATTCTCTTGTATAAAAAAAGAAATAGTTACATAAATATAATGCTACCAAGCTTTTTCTATTAAAAAAGCTTTTGATATACTAAAAATGGAAAATTTTGTAATATTTCAAAAGTAAGAATGATAGCTAAAGCTAACTTATATTGACTATATATATATATGGATTTTTGGAACAATGACCAAAACAGCCATCCCTCCAAACCATGCCATCTACCCCCTTCTCATCACCACCCAACACCAAAAGGCTAATCCCTCGATCTCTTTCCGTAGTTTAGACTTTGGATATCGTCGCCACCAAAAAAGGATGCATCTATCGATGGCTCATCTTGAAGAAGTCCGCTATACTTCTCCCTCTTCCCTCTAGATAATTTAAAGATGATTCCCTGTCCAGCTGAAATTTCTTAAGAGAGTTTTCGAGTTCGTGTTCAAAACTTGCTCTAAAAACCGTAACTTTGTATTATATTGAATATCTCTTGTAAAAAGAAAATCTTTTGCTGGTATAAAACTGTAACCTACGGCATAAGCACCTGGGAGCTACGGAGAAGAACAGCGTCCACCCCTTGAATAGGCCGATGTGGGTGTCACGCCGACACCGACAACCACCGGCAACCCCTTTGTTTTGTTTATGTCATTTTCCATTCAATCCTTGTGGATGCAGAGACTAGGTTTTAATCCATTTTCTAAAAATATATAAATTCTGTTGACTCTTATTTGGTAGGTGTACCCTGCAGTGTGAATTGCATGACACTAATAGTTTTTTATGGTCTGTAAGTTGTGACTGTGACCCGTACTTTTGAGACCTTCAATTCCAACTTGCAATAGTATCCAATTATTTATAGTTACTAATCTTTCAAAATTGAAACGTTCATTTGCATGGATTTTTAAACACCGCTATAAGAGTAGAAGTAGAGAGCATATAGGGGGTTCACGAAGTACCTCATCCGTTCAATTTTTTTGTTGTTTGAAACTTCAAATATCATTAACGATTACCTAAGTAAAATACTGCAAAATCATTTTTTCAGCAAATATCATTTTTGATGTGCCCAAAATGGTCAAACCTATTTTTTAATATAAAAGAAGCTATTACTGAACTCCCAATTACATCAATGTGACAAAACCATACTGAAATTAACTAAGATGCAACCAAAACGTTTAACAAAGAGGATTGCTACGGCCCAACAGGTTGTATCGGGCGGTACTGGTACCCCGCAGAACCAAAACACATCTACCGTTGAATCCGGGATGGGTAGGATCGGGAGAGAAAAGATGAGCAAGGGTGGATGCGGCGTTCGAGTCCGTTCCTGGGGCGGCGCAGAGCAACAAGGCAACGCCAGTGGCGCGGGAGAGGATAAAGTCCGGTGGCGGCGCGCGAGAGAAAAAAGAGAACGACGGCAGCGCCGGAGAGGAACAAGGGAAGGACGGCGGCGCGGGAGAGGAACAAGTCCGGCGGCGGAAGAGGAACAAGTTCGGCGGTGGCGGAAGAGGAATAAGTCCGGCGGCGGCGAGGAAGAGGAACACGGCGGCGGCGGCAAAAATCATCTAGCATAGCTAGGGTTCGAGCCGCCCAATCCAGACCCATCTATTGCACACGAAGTTACTCTTTTACCCTTCCAACTCTCTTCTCCATGCGGGACCACCTAAGGGACATTTTTGGTACCGTGCGGTACCACGCAACACCAGCCATTGGATCAGGCCAGATCCAACGGCCAGCATTTGGTACCGCTATGGTACCGCGTGGTACGTTGGACAGTAAAAAAACTCTTTAACAATAGTTCATTACAAAAAGAGAAATCAGGAAAATCTAGGGAAGTCCAATTAATCCTGAGATTAGATCACTGCCCATATAATTTGGCTGCATGAATTTTTTGTGTGTGTCTGTGTGATTGAAGGGAGCTTACTATTAAACCCTGCATAGGAGATTTTCTATGTTCTCATTTGCGCTACTAATTTGCAGGTGCAGTGTGGAAAAACTGCTAACTGGGACACCCGGTCAATTCAAACTTAGACAAAACAAAGCACAGCTTTAGACTCTGACATGAACTTCTTTTCTTTCTTCGAGAAAGAGAGTGCCCACCTCTCCCATTTCTAGTAGCAGACTAGCTATTTACCCGTACACACTTGACATGAAGCTATATTGACTGAAGAGCAAGTGCAACCACATAGCAGCACACTGCAACAAATGCAGCTTCCCCCTGTTGTTAAACCTCTTCCCTGAATGATCTCTCTCTCAGGTTTTCATAGAGCCATGTCTGGCATGAACCGTTCGAGCTTTCTTCCACTATTTTTCATCATCATCGTCATCAAGCTCGGTATCGGTCTTCTTCCATCCTTCACTACAGCTGTCGACGATGGCCAGTTTGTGTTCAACGGCTTCCTCAACAGTAGTCTCACCGTCGATGGAGCAGCCATGGTGCTGCCAGGGGGATTGCTCCAGCTGACCAATGGCACCGGCATGATGAAAGGCCATGCCTTCCATCCAACTCCTTTCCGCTTTCGCGAATCGCCCGGTACGACGCTGCACTCCTTCTCCGTGTCCATCGTGTTTGGTATCATCTCTGCCTACCGTGAGGTTGGCACGGACGGCATGGCCTTCTTGATCGCCCCGAGCTCTAACTTCTCCGACGCGAATGCGGCGCAACACCTGGGCCTGTTCAATTACAAAAACAATGGAAATATGAGCAACCATGTTTTTGCTGTCGAGATCGACACCGTACGAAACAACGAGTTTATGGACATCGACAGCAACCACATCGGCATCGACATCAGTGATCTTCGCTCAGTGAATTCTTCTTCGGCAGGATACTATGATGATAACACCGGTGGATTCCAGAACATGAGTTTGATTAGTGGTGAGGCGATTCAAATTTGGATCGATTATGATGCACGGGCAATGCGGATTGATGTGGCATTGGCTCCATTCAAAATGGCCAAACCTACCAAGCCACTACTGTTGATGTCCTATAACCTCTCAATGGTGCTGACAGATGTCGCATATGTTGGATTGTCAGCAGCAACTGGGCCACTAGAAACAAGTCACTACATCTTAGGCTGGAGCTTCAGCATGAATGGATCAGCTCCATCATTCCTCACAGCTCAGCTACCTGACTTACCTCGTAGAGGTACAGATCGAAAAGGTTCTCGTCGGTCCAAGGTATTGCTGATAATTGTGCCTATAGCAACTGCCACATCTGCTGTTGCGGTGAGCTTGGCCGTCTTCCTCTTTGTGCGAAGGTGGTTTAAGTATGCCGAGCTACGGGAAGATTGGGAAATTGATTTTGGACCACATAGGTTCTCATTTAAGAACCTATATTTTGCTACTGAAGGGTTTAAGAATAGGCACCTATTAGGTACAGGAGGGTTTGGAAGGGTGTACAAGGGTTTTCTTTTTGAATCTAAGCTACAGATTGCCGTGAAGAGGGTGTCCCATGAATCGAGACAAGGTATAAGAGAATTTATTGCAGAGATTGTTAGCATCGGCCGCCTTCGGCATCGCAACATCGTGCAGTTACTTGGTTATTGCCGGCGTAAAGGTGAACTTCTCTTGGTCTATGACTATATGCCAAATGGTAGCCTTGATAAATATTTGCACTGTAATAGTACCCGTCCTAGTTTAGATTGGAATCAACGGTTTCGAATAATCAAGGGTGTTGCATCTGGTTTATGGTACCTTCATGGAGAGTGGGAGCAAGTTGTCATCCATAGAGATGTCAAAGCCAGCAATGTGCTTCTTGACGAAGAGATGAATGCCCGCTTAGGTGATTTTGGCCTTGCAAGGTTATATGATCATGGCACCGACATGCAAACCACACACCTGGTTGGCACCATAGGGTATCTTGCCCCTGAGCTGGCAAACACAGGTAAGGCTTCACCCGCCACCGATGTTTTCTCCTTCGGCATATTTGTTCTTGAGGTTGCTTGTGGACGAAGGCCCATTGAGCACGGAATGAATAGTGAGTACAAGTTCACGTTGGTAGATTGGGTGATTGATCGTTGGCACGAGGGATCACTTCTTGAGGTAATGGATCCAAAGCTCCAAAATGGATATGATGATGATGAGGCATGCCTAGCTCTAAAACTAGGATTGCTTTGCTCACACCCATCACCTATTGCAAGGCCAACCATGTGGCATGTCATGCAGTATCTTAACCATGACTTGCCATTTCCAGAGTTGATGGCGATGGACATGGTGCGAAACCAATGGGTGGACTCACCTATTGAATATTGCCAATCAGTGGCGAGCGATGGCACCATGTCTGGCCTGTCTGAAGGGAGGTAGCATCCATCTATTGCCATATGTACACCTAGTTACTTGATTTAGTTTTGTAATTTTGAGGTATATTTCCTCCTAGTTAATTCTAGTATGATTGTCAGGCTTCTAAAATAAAAAAAAAGTTACTACTAAATGCTTGTTTAAGCATGGGTTTGTGTAATCAAATACGTATTGTTGCATACTTACAACCATCTAAAAAAAGTCTTTCTTTTTTTTTGCGGGGATGTCTAAAAATCTTGTTACTAGTCCGTAGAGTGAAGAGTCTGTATTCTTGGAGATGAGGCAAACCTGGAGATGGCCAGTGGTGTTCTCTGTTCTGAAACACTGATAGTCAGACAATCGGATGTCAGTCAGTGATGTTAGGCAGTAGGCACAGGAAAACAAAAATCATATCATGGTAAAAGTTTCAGAGAAAAATCAGTTTACTAATCAACCATAGTTTTGATCAGTGAAAAACAGTACATCGGCTACTTGGACAACTAAATCAACACAATGACCAGTAATAAAGAGAACACTTCAAGCTGAATACTTTAATATCTTCTCCCCAATCTGCATATATATTACAACTCTCAAACTAGTACTCCCTTCGTCCTAAAAAAAATAAATCAAATCCTAGTTATGAATCTAAACAAACACTTATGTAGATTTATAGTCAGGATTTGATTCTTTTTGGAACGGAAGGTGTACAGATATTATTCAGTCCTCTGGCTCCCTGTAGAATCAGCATAGTCCCTTTTTATCCTCTCCAACTTCACAACAACATCCTTCATAGTTGGCCTTTCATCAGGTGCATGGCTGCAACACATTAGGCCCACCTCAAATATTGGTACAAGAAGGTCAGTGATCAGCCTGCTAGAAGCAGCATCTTCATGTGCATTATCATTGTGGTTAGTACCACAATCTTTGTCACAGTCCTGCAGAAGATTGCTGTCCACAACATCAGTAAGCCTCAGTGGAAATGCTTGATGAACCCACTCCCTGAGGCTCAGCTCTCCAGCAAACATGGGATCTGTCGGCATCTTCCCAGTGAAAACTTCCAGTAGCATGATCCCGTAGCTGAACACATCGCTCTTCCTCGAGGCTTTAGCCATGGAACAATACTCTGACAACAAAAATTATTGCAAAACAAAAGCTGGGTTTAGCTACAGAAGTATCAATCAACGGATGTAATGACAGAGGAGCTGCTGCATAAAGGAATAAAGATAGTCAAATTAATTACCATGTGCCATGTACCCAATTGTTCCAAGCATGCTTACTGAAACCATGGAGCTCTCATCACCTAGCAACAGTTTCGCAATGCCGAAATCGGCAACATGTGCTGTCATCTCATCATCAAATAGCACGTTGCTAGGTTTCAAGTCACAATGCAGCACAACCTCATAGTGCTGGTTGTGTAAGTAATCCATTGCCATAGACACATCCAGCATAGTGTCCAATCTCTTGAGGAACCCAAGGCGCGGCATCCCTTCCGAGTGTAGGTGTTTCTGTAAGCTCCCATTAGGCATGAACTCAAGCAACAATGCTCTGAAGTCCAGATTGGAACAGGTGTTGAGAATTCTCATCAAGTTGCGGTGCCGAGCCATGCGCAGTACTCGGCATTCGGAATCAAAACTCCTCGTAGCTTCTTCTAGCTGCATGTTAAGGACTTTTATTGCGACAACCAAATTGTCACTCAGCTGGCCCTTGTAAACCTTGCCAAAGCTTCCTGATCCCAACAAATTCTGCTCACTGAAATTATCAGTTGCACGGACAATATCATAGTAGGAGATTATCTTGTGGCTGACAGCATCAACCATCATTGCAGAATCCATTATTACCTCCCTCTGCTTTGCATTTTTCTTTCTGCTCAGTAGGTACAAGCAAGTTGCAACTACAAGTCCTACTGCCACAATTGCAGGGAATACAAACTTTAGGATGTGTGCATGAGCTGAGTGAGAATTTCCCAGGCATGGTGAAAGTCCTAAACGAGAGGCACCACACAGCCCAGGATTACCCATTAAAGACTGCATAGTAATGTTCAAGAACACACCTCCTTCTGGTACCTGACCTTGTAGATTATTGAAGGAGAAATTAACGTTTGTGAGGTAGGTCAAATTGGCAAAGTAGCTGGGAATTCTACCAGATAAATTGTTGGAGGACAGGTCCAGTATGGCTATATTTGATAGTTTCCTGAAAGAGTCTGGAATTGAGTCATCAAACATGTTATATGACAAATTCAAGTAGGTTAGCATTTGAAGCTTCCCGAGTGAAGCCGGAAGGCTACCGAACAAATGGTTAGCAGATAGATCAATCTGGTTAATTTGTGTCAAGCTGCTAATATCATCTGGTAATGGTAATAAACCAGTCAAGGAATTGTGAGACATATTGATTACAAGAAGATAGTTAAGGTGGAAAATGCTTGGTGGTATAACTGAAAAGAACTGGTTATTGGACAGCGAAATGTATTGCAGGTTAGTGAGATTACCAAGGCCAAGTGGTAAAACACCGGATAATTTATTGTCGTGAAGAAGCAATCGTTCTAAGCTGTTCAGAGCAGAGATTTCTGTTGGTATGGGACCAGACAAGCTATTGCCGGAGAAGTCAAGCATCCGAAGGTTTTTCAACATCATGATGGATTCTGGAATTATATTGCTCATTTGGTTGTTTGAAAGATCCAATAAGTTGAGAGCACTTAGATTTGACAGAGATGCAGGGATGCCACCAGTTAACTGGTTGCCAAATGCAAAAAAAATTACCAACTGATTAGAGAAGTTGCCCATATAGTCAGGGAGATTACCAGTAAAGAAACTATTCGATATGTCGAGAGTTTGGAGTTGTCTGCAATTGGAAAGAGTTGGCAAGAAATCAAGCCCACCATGAAGCAAGTTCCATCCGATGCTCACTATGTTCAGGGCTTTGCTATTCCCAAATGTGGCTGGTACAGATCCTGTCAATGAGTTGGATTTCACAACCAGAAAAGATAGTTCAGTTAGGTTACCAACAAAAGCAGGAAATGGGCCAGTTAGTTGATTGTGTGAGAGATGCAATCTTGAAAGTTTTCTCATGTGTACCAATCCTGGTGGAATTACACCAGTTAGATTACAGAATGCAAGCTCTAGATGAAGAAGCCCAGTGAGATTACCAAGCACGTTTGGGATTGGTCCGAAAATGTTGTTGTTGCCCAAGGCGATGACAATTAGCTTTGGTAGCTTAGCTAACCATGTTGGCAAAACATCTGTGAATGAATTGTGGATCAGATTAATTCTCTCGAGATGTCGACATGCTGCCAATCCAGTAGGAATCTGGCCTCTGAAACTGTTCCAATGGAGATCGATCCATCTCAACATGGGAAGACTGAAGCTTCCATTGTCAGGTATAGGTCCAGTGAGCTTGTAGTTTCCCCATAGGAACAGCTCTTGCAGTCTAGACTTGTTGAATATGGAGGGAGGCACTGGCCCCTCGAGCTGATTCACATGCAAGCATAGGTATTCAAGATTGGGCAATGATGAACCGATTCCATCTGGTATGGATCCTGACAAGCTATTGTTCCCAAAGTTTATGTAGGTTAACAGAGGTGTGTTGTTGAATATGTTTTCAGGTATGTTCCCACTCAAGTCATTCTTGATGAAACTCATGTACCTAATGTCATGCAGGTTTCCTAGCTCTGTTAAGATGTGCCCTGACAGGTTGTTGTAGCTTAGAACAAGAACTTGGATTCTGGTCAAATTTCCTATGGATGATGGTACACTGCCTGACAATCTGTTTCTACTGAGATCAAGAACCCTGAGACGAGTTAACCTTCCAAGATCATCTGGGATGGGGCCTTCTAGCCCCGTGTTGGTGAGATTGATGAAAGACAGGAAGGAGAGATTACCAAGATGAGGGGTAACCATGCCATGTAGAGGAATGTTGGGGAGCTCCAAGGCAGCGACGGCGCGCCGTCGCCGACGATGGTGGCTGCAGGAGACGCCGATCCAGCTGCAGAAGGATGTGCCGGTTGTCCAGTTAACACGAAGGATGCCGAGAGGATCAGACACCTGAGCTCTGAAAGCAAGTAGAGCAGTGAGGTCAGTGTCATTGCTGCAGCTCATGGGCAGAGCTGCAGCTAGCAGCAGCAAGACCACCACCGACAGCATGATGTGAGTAGATGGGATGATCATCTCAACACTGGAGTAGCAATGTATAACTAGCTGGCTAGTGTAGTAGTAGTAGTACCAATGCAAAGCTGGAGTGGCAATAGCAAAATATATATACTTTCTTCGTTTCATAATGTAAGTCATTCTAGCATTGGCTACATTCATATCGATGTTAATAAATCTAAACATATATGTGTATCTAAATTCATTAACATCTATATGAACGTGGATAATGCTAGAAAGTCTTACATTATGAAATGGAGGGAGTAGTAGTTAGATTTGGCTACAGATACGCGTTGCCAGTATGTCAACCAAATAATAATAATGAACAGTGACTTGGTGACGCACCACGACCATGGTATGCAGACAAATACCATCCAGCTGCATTCTTTTCTTCAACTCCAAAATAGAACTTACTCATTTTCCATTAGCACACTTACCAAACTGCTAAACGGTGTGTGTTTTTAAGAACATTTTACATAGAAGTTTGTTAAAAAAAATCAAATAAACCCAATTCTTAAGTTTCTAAGTGCTAATGGATTATCTCGTTTTACATGTTGCCAAAAAGCTAAACCAAATTTCTCCTAAAAAAAAAAAGGCTAAACTAAATTGCAGATTCAAACAAGGCCTAGTTGTGACAAGATGGAAATCAATTTTTTCTTTGCCCCTTCAGTTGTCCTCTTCTTTAATTCTAGCATGATGTAATGCTACTACCAGTCAGAAAAAAAAAAGCCTAAGGGCCCCTTTGATTTATAGGAAAAGCATAGGAAATTTGAAGGATTTCAATCCTATGGAAAAATTTCCTATAAAACCCTTTTAAAACAAAGGATTGAATCCTATACTATCCTTTAAAATTCCTATGGAATGGGTGATCCTATAGAGATTTTGGAGGAAAGTTAGCAAGAGGTCCAACTTATTGGAAAAATTTCTTTGAGGGCCCCTTTGAATTAAAGGATTTATGTAGGAATTTCATAGGATTCAAATCCTATAGGAAATTTTCCTATTTGGCCCTTTGATTCAAAGGATTGAAGCTTTCCAAATCCTATGAAATTCCTATGGAATGGCATATTGCATGTGGATTTTGGAGGAAATTTAGCAAGAGCTCCAACCTCTTGGAAAATTTCCTTTGAGTCTATCTCTCTCATCCGATTCCTGCGTTTTTCCTGCGCTCCAATCAAACGACCATTCCTGTGTTTTGCAATCCTCTGTTTTACACTTCAATTCCTGTCAGAATCCTGTGTTTTTCCTATTCCTCCGTTTTTTTCTACCCTGCGATTCAAAGGGGCCCTGAGTCTATCTCTCTCATCCGATTCCTGTATTTTTCCTGTGGTCCAATCAAACGGTCATTCCTGTGTTTTTCCTGTATTTTCCAATCCTCTGTTTTACACCTGTATTCCTATTAGAATCCTGCGTTTTTCCTATTCCTCCGTTTTTCCATTCCTGCAATTCAAAGGGGCCCTAAGTGGGATTGAGCTTGTTTTAAATATTTTCTTTGGTTAAAGGAAAAATGCAATACTTTTTAACTTTGTTTTAATACCAAATGGTTAAATATTATGGCCCCATAAAAACATAAAACTGAAATTTCCACCTTGAAAAACATGGAGTTGCAAATATTCTTAACAGACAGAAAAGTTAAAAGTAGCAAATTAACAACGATGCATGCACACTGTTCATCGCACCTCACAAAGGGAAGAAAAAGAATGGATTGACTCTTGAAGTCAATTTGGAAAAGGAAGTCTTTGCGAGACTTCTTTTTTTTTTAAAGAATAAAAAGGGCTGATTAGAGTAACGTCATCGTCTAGTGAAAGCAAAAGTTGCAGAAGCATCAGACAAATTATACAGTCCTGTTAACCAACAATGCCCGATGCCTAACTTTCCAAGCAACCCACCAGCGTTATTCCACACTGTCAGTGTCAATTACCCCCTTCGTTTTGTTTAATTGACTATTAACCATGGCACTAGGACAAGACAATTCCATCGACTTCCTTTGTCCAGATGACCAATAAACTGCCTACAAATGGGAGGACTTTGTTCGTCTTCTTTCTTTTCTTTTGTTTATCTTACATGTTTCAGTACTATATGGAAATATCATGGGATCATATGTAAATGAAAAACAAAATTGTTCCAAAAAGGTAAAGTGACAAATATTCTCAAACACAAAAATGGATTTTTTTTTAAAAAAGATGAGTAAATGTAAACAAATGTAGTGCTAGTTGAGCAACCTCATTTAGGAGAAAGGAGAGAGAGATATTTTTTTAGCCGGGTCGGCCGAAAAATCGACCAACCATATTGTATTAAGAAGAGAGAAAAAAAGAGCCAGGTACATACAACATTATACTGTCGCAAGGCATAAGCCCCCCCAAAAAAGGAAAAAAAATCCTAGGGATCAAGGAACCCAGGAGAGAGAGATATGATGAATTGACTCTTTAAATCTTGGTAACCCAGCTCAATGATTTGCACAAGGTTCATTAAGTATGAACATACCAGCAGTTTCAGTCTTTCAGATCTAAACATCCATCTCAAAATGAATAGTTTGGCAACCAATAAAAGAAAAGGTACAGATTAAATCAGTACTATCATCGAAATTTGAGAACGGAACGACATCAAATTGTACAATAGATCAAACAACAAGGCGCGAAACCACCTCTCCTACCTCATCCTCCTGATATCCCCAAATCACGAATCACGCTGCCAAACCAGAGAAAGGAAGTGAGGAGCAGCAGAAGCCGACGAAGGCCACACATCCTCGCCTGAAGCTCGCCACGCCGGCGATGGCGTTCGCGGCCTCCACCGCGTCCATGATGATGTCGTCTTCGTCGCCGCGGCAGTGCCACCATGGCGCCGGAGTAGGCTGGAGTGGGCCGAGCCTGACTTCCGTCATATTGGGCCGATCCAAGCATATGAATTTTGAGCCCAGCATGTAAAATATTGTTGACATGATATAATTTAGGAAAAAGTACGAATTATCCCCCCGAACTATCGCGGTAGGCTGAATTCCCCCCTGAAGCTAAAAACCAGACATCACTCACCCTGACTTTTAATACCGGACGAATTACCCACCTCGACCCAATCCAAAGCGTTTTTGTCCTACGTGGCGTACGCGTGACAATCCAGTCAGCATTTTCTTTTTTTTTAATGGCGGGGCCCACATGTCATATATAGTCTCTCTTCTCTTCCCCTCTTCCACACACTCTCTCTCCCTCTCTCTCGTCTCCGTCGTCGAGTGGCGGGCGGCGGCGCGGGACGCAGAGGCGGGAGCGGATGCGGAGGCGGCGGTGGCAAGGGACGCAGAGGGGGCGGCGGCAGGGCGCGCGGGACGCGGACCCGCTCCCTCCCGGCGGCGTCGGGATCTGCCGGGACAACCCGGCCATCCTCCTCCTTCTCTTTCCCCACCGTGGCGGGCGGCAGCGCGGGCCCAGTGGCGGCGGCGTCGAGGTGCTCAGCGACTACCTCCTCCGCGAGATCCTCCTCCGTCGAGCTTCCTCGCCGCTGACACGCTCGGCTTCCTCTTCCTCGTCGCTCGGCTTGGTGTGGTAGCAAGCTAGCTTAGGCTACTCCAAGAACGTCTCCATTAGGTCCGAGTAGACGCGGCCCTCGTGTGGGCACCTGTACTCCATCCCTTTGCTGCTGCTGCTGCGGCGGTGGCGCCGGTGCCGTTGACACACCGACGGGGCGTCGACGTGGTGGACGAGCTCATCCTCGCTGGCAACGTGAAGCTCCTCTTGAACTTGGTGCTCTCCAGGCTCAGGTACTCCTCCACATTCTCCACGCCGCCGTGCCCCACGTCCTGCGCCGCCGCTGCCGCTGCCGCCATCTTGCTCCCGTCATCCGCGCCGCCGCCGCCGTCGCCAAACAGGAGCTTCACATCCTCGGTCCGGGCGGTGAGCGCGGTGAAGAACGACAGCCCATTGGGCCATTTCAGGTCGCCCTCGAGCGCCTCCCCACCAGGCCACCATGCGGCGCCATCGGCTGGTGGTGGTGGTGCTCGTCCATGTGCTGCGGCTGCTTGGAACAGGTGGCTCCGCCGGAGGGAGTGGGTCCGCATCCCGCCCTGCCGCCGCCGCCGCCTCTGCATCCCTCGCCACTGCCGCCTCCGTGTCCGCTCCTGCCTCTGCGTCCCACGCCGCCACCCGCCGCTCGACGACGGAGACGAGAGAGAGAGGGAGAGAGAATGTGTGGAAGAGGGGAAGAGGAGAGAGAGTATATATGACATGTGGACCCTGCCATTAAAGAAAGAAAATGCTGACTGGATTGCCACGCGTACGCCACGTAGGACAAAACCACTCTGGATTGGGTCAAGGGGAGTAATTCGTCCGGCATTGAAAGTTCAGGGTGAGTGATGTCTGTTTTCAGGTTCGGGGGGAATTCAGCCGACCGCGATAGTTCGGGGGGTAATTCGTACTCTCCTATAATTTATACGGAGTAAGTCTACTTTTTATCCCTCATCTTTATATCAAGTTTAATTGACATCTGTAAATTATAATACAAAAAACTTCACCTCAAGCTTGACAAAACCATTTAAGTTAGACCCAATGACACTATGGATAATTGTTTTGGATGGCATGACATCCTAGTTAGAAAAAAAATATTAAAGAACATGTGGGACCCACATGTAATTGGCCTTTCACCTCTCCCCCTCTCCCCGAGGAGCTCACTGGCGGGGAGAGGGCCAAGGGATGGCGAGCCTGTCCACGGGAGGCGGCAGCAGTGATGGGAGGTGAGCCATTGAGAGGGCGATGGACATGGTGCGAAATTATAAGATGGAGGGAGTATACACGTATATATAATACTATTGTTTGCTTGTCAGGGCTCTAAAATAAAAAAAACTGGTTACTAGCTACTAAATGCTTGTTTAAGCTTTTTTTTTTTTTGAGAAGGGGGCGATGGACATGGTGCGAAATTATAAGATGGAGGGAGTGTACACGTATATGTATTACTATTGTTTGCTTGTCAGGGCTCTAAAATAAAAAAAATGGTTACTAGCTACTAAATGCTTGTTTAAGCATTTTTTTAGACAATGGTATTTTTTACCCGGCCTCTGGATCCAATCGGATATATGCAGCCTTTTTTTTAAACTAGGAAGGTAGCCCGCGCATTCGCGCGGGCATGTATTATAGTTTGTGTTTCAAACTATATAATGACTGGATATAAACCGGAGAACATTTATGAAATATAAATCGGAAAGGAAATTCACACATATGCACAGGCATCTTATTTGTTATTAAAAAAAATAATGCTAAAAGGAATCATATATATATAGAGAGAGACACACACTGTAAGAGAATTTAGATTACCCTACAATAAGAAAAATAAGAAATATATTTACCATAAAATAGACGGTAGATTTTAATATACTTCTAACGTGATAATAATGTCTCTTAGATTTAAATAAAAATACCTTTGTCCTGGTCATATATAAACTGGTCGTTTGTCATCACTACTTACTATCATTGTTTTAAGAATTAGGTCAACTTTTAATAAATAAAACTGTATTAGTACCACTAAAACAAATAATACATTTTTAATACACTAAAAAATTCATCGACCTGCATAACCCGGTGTTCATCACTTATTTTTGCATCTATATATAAATAGTCTAAATATACCATATCTACCGAATAATACGATAACTCTGTTTAAAATAAACATGAATGTCTCTCTAATGGATGAAGTCGACTGTATCTGCGAACGAAGGCTTTTGTATGTACTGCCTTGAAACATATAGGTTCCGCATCGATGTAGCCATACCCCTAAAAACCATCCTAGAGTATAATTTTAACACTTAGTTTATTATCAGTACACTCACAAATGATTATATGGTAAGTATGTCACTTTAGTCACACTGCCTATGGTGGCCTTTCACAGACACCACCTTAACACAACCATGTACATACCCATGCAATATTTAGGATGGTATTGCAAGTACTGCACCCTGCATTCAAGGACAGAGGGACATAAAGGAGGAGGTGATGAAAATGCATTTTTTTCATATGAAGTTAGTAATAAGTACTTCTCAAATTTTAATGGAATATATATAATATGATGTATTTCAAATGAGTGGGGTTAATCATTTCACACTACTTAATAAAAACTATAGCTAAAGAGACATACCACCATGAGAATATGCAAAACACCATATCATTATTTATATTTTGATAAAGATTTATACTTTAGCGCCAAATTTGTTTCCACCATATGTTGTAAGCAACTATACGAGACTCATTTACTAATACTAAGAATACGAGACTCATTTACTAATACTAAGAATGTACTTATTTTCACAAACTTATTTACATTAAATAATTCGCTAGAGTGCACTTACAGTTGGGTTTAGTGGTGTATAACATTTGTCCATCAATTATACCCGGTATATTAGAATCTCTATCAACTATAAAAAAATATAACATAAGTAGTTTTATGCGTATTTTATTGGATTATTCATGTTTTTCCAATACTACTTGGCAAAGAAAATACATAATTCTTGTGATGAATTAAGGGTTGTATTGTAGCAAATTAACTATCTATCATGTATGCTTCTCACTCCTCAAAGAGCAACAAAAATGTTTTGAAAAATTTCAGATACTTTTAGAATCTCAATCTCACCCAAAATAAACTTAAAAAGATCCACTTAAAAATCACATCTAAATTATGTTGTTTTATTATCACTGGCTAAAATTTAATTTAATGTTTCTCATCAATCTATTAATTATGCTTCTCACAGCTCAAATAAGAAAAGTTTTGAAAAAATTCCAAATACTTTGAGAATCTCAATCTCTCTAAAATTAAATAAACCTAAATAGATGTACTTAAAAAATGCTAGGTTTTGTTATTTTAATTATTACATATGTAGATTCAAGTTAACGCTTTATATTTGTGATATTTGGCACCATAAAATATGATATGAAATTATTTGAAACATTATTATCGCATTTGCTATTACATGCTGGTGTCATTTGTAATGATATATTTATCACTTTATGATTAAGTTTAACTGTGTAGTATTATTTTAATAAAATCATAGATTAAAGGCTGTTGACAACAAATCAGTGCCGACACTGATGATTTTTCCTTATTAGTATTTCTTTCTGATTCTAGTGCATGTTTTCTTTTTTATTTTTTTGGCTTTAACTGTTTTTTCGATCGTATATGGTCCAGGTATTTAAGTTTTGTTTTTTGGGGAGGGAGGCGATCGTACGACATAAGCACTTTATGTTTTTTTTTCTGAGATAGAGATTAGCGGCATGGGAATTTTAAGAGCTCTAATCCAATGCTTAAAATAACGGGTCTACTAATTTAAGTGAAAAATATAAGGTTGGATGCTTTTGTTTTTTTACTCTAAATATTTTGGATTTCTCTAATTTTATTAGAGCGCCACGTGACAATGTAGGAGCGTTTGCAGATATATAATAGACTTTTAGTATATAAAAGATTTCAATGATTTCTCTAATTTATTTGAGTGCCATATAGCGATATAAAAGCGTTTGTACAAAGTTTAATGTACTTTTAGTATATAATAGATTGATTTAGAAGATGGTTTAAAGGAACATTGATTAAATATTTATTATAGATCTTAGTTTAACTAAACATATTGATATTTGTGAAGTAATATATTTTATCTTTATATTGTAGAAAATCATATTTTAAAAAGACCATTGATTTTTATGAATGCATATATAAATTCTCTGTCTTTTTTATGTATACATGTGTATTTGTTTTCTTCTAGCGAAGATTAGGAAATTTTATCGTTTTGTTTTCACAATCATGTACGTTTGTATACATATGGGAAGAACAGCAGTAGTATTTGTATCGTACAAAATCATACATACGGACAGCGCTAGTATGTTATAAACAATGCAAAAGTTATTATTTTTTAATAATAGATCTGATCTAATGGTCTACAATAACGGGTCCACCAATTTAAGTGAAAATCGACGGTGAGATTAGATTGTGCGATGTGGCGACTTAAGAGCGTTTATAGGAGTGACACGTGGCGGCTTAAGAGCGTTTGTAGGAAGTTTAATGGACTTTTAGTATATAATAGACAGCGCTAGTATGTTATAAACAATGCAAAAGTTATTATTTTTTAATAATAGATCTGATCTAATGGTCTACAATAACGGGTCCACCAATTTAAGTGAAAATCGACGGTGAGATTAGATTGTGCGATGTGGCGACTTAAGAGCGTTTGTAGAAGTGACACGTGGCGGCTTAAAAGCGTTTGTAGGAAGTTTAATGGACTTTTAGTATATAATAGATAGATAGGAACTTAGCCTATCGAACAGGGCCACTGCAACCACTAGACTGCATGCCCTTTGACATCTGAAATGCTTGTTTAAGCATTGGTTTGTGTAATCAAATATGTATTATTACATACTTAAATCCAGCTAAAAAATGTGTTGCTAGTCTGTACATGTTGTTGGGTATAGCCAGTGCTGTTCTGAAACAACCGTGTGGCCGGATCAGTCAGACAATTATATAGTCAATCAGTGATGTTAGGCATAGTACAGTATGCACACACTCCGCGCTTGCAACCACCAATATTGGTACGGATTTTGAGATCCTCTGCAGTCGCTACATGTAAATGATAATGGTATGGTACAATCGACTGCATAGGATCTCTTTAAATTTTCTGTAATCTGCCGCTATCCTAACTGGTTCGTGTCTCTTGTCTGCTATGGCTTCCAGGTGATCACCATGTGTACTAATAATGTTTGCTTTCTTCTAATTAACATGCAATCCTTTTGCTCTTTTACAGAAAAAAGAATGTGTGAATTAATCTATGCTTTTATATCTAAAAATATTTTTTAATAAGGAAATATTTATGAAGTTTTTTTTATTATAGACATTGCTTTTGGTGCACTTAATTTCAATGCTTACCGGTAACATTAATTATATGTATGTATACATATTGATTAAATTAGATATAGTATTAAGGGTCCTTATTTCAAGTTTCATCCTGAGCCACGGAAACGGATCCTCTGACTTAACTGAGCATGCAGTTAAATCACTAACATGTGGTCCTACTTTACTATCGTCCACATGTCAGTGACTCTCAACTACACAGTAATTAAGTCAGAGGATCGCTTTCTCTGGGCCATCAAAATAATCAGGCCCGGTTATTTTCACTGGTAATTTGAAGGAAGGTGCAGTATGGAAAAACTGCACAAATTTTGACAAGTTGACTCTTTGCAAGAACTATTTTTACAAATGAACCGCTGCCAAAACTTATTTCAAATCTGACCCTTTTGCTCAACGTCAAATCGTGTGGCGCTGAACTTAGACACCTCAGCGCCACGTCAGCTGGCGCTGAATGCCGTGCCACGACGGATGAGAGACTAAGTCAGCATGCCAACGTACATTCAGCGCCATGCTATTTGGCGCTGAGGTTTCTAAGTTCAGCGCCACAAGATTTGGCGTTGAGCAAAAGGGTCAGATTTCAAATAAGTTTTGGCAACGGTTCATTTGTAAAAATAGTTTCTGCAAAGGATCGAATTATCAAAATTTGTGGAAAAACTGATTTGGCCCGTCAACACAGCAGACTTAGATTGAATGACAGCACACAATTTTAGACTTGTCATGAAGCTACGTTGACTGAAGAGCAAGGCAGCCATATCTGTATCACTATACCAGCACACTGCAACATCGTAATATGCAGCTTCCTGCATGCCCTATTGTTGAACCTTCCCTCCTCTCTTCCAGGTTTTGTTTGGAGCCATGCCTGTCCCTGGCGAGAATCGTCGGTGCTTTCTTGCGGTACTCCATTTCTTCACCATCATCCTGATAATTATCACGTTTCCATCCTCCACTGCAGCCATTGGCGATGGTCAGTTCGGGTACTATGGCTTCTCCAACAGCAGTCTCACCGTCGATGGAGCTGCCATGGTGCTGCCAGGGGGCTTGCTACAGCTGACCAACAGTACGGCCAATATGAAAGGCCATGCCTTCCATCCGACTCCTTTCCGGCTTCGCAAGTCGCCCAACACTACGGTGCAGTCCTTCTCCGCCTCCTTGGTGTTTGGCATCATCTCCCCTTACATTGATCTTGGGTCACAAGGCATGGTTTTCTTGGTTGCCCCAAGCACTAATTTTTCTGATGCGTTAGCCGCACAGTACCTGGGTCTGTTCAACATTAGAAACATTGGCAATCGTAGTAACCATGTTTTTGCCGTTGAGATCAACACCATATTGAATAGCGAGTTTATGGACATCGATGACAACCATATCGGCATCGACATATGTGATCTTCGCTCCGTGACATCTCATTCAGCGGGCTACTACGACAACAGCACCGGTGGCTTCCATAACTTGAGTCTAATCAGTGGTGAGGCGATGCAAATTTGGATCGACTACGATGGAGGGGCAAAGCAGATTGACGTGGCCTTGGCTCCATTCAAAATGGCCAAACCCACCAAGCCACTACTGTCAATGCCCTATGACCTCTCATCAGTGATCTCAGATGTTGCATATGTAGGTTTATCAGCTGCAACAGGCTTAGCAGGGTCGAGTCATTATATTCTAGGCTGGAGCTTTAGCATGAATGGACCCACTCCTCCTTTCTTCACTGCTCAACTACCAGATCTACCTCGTAGAGCTCAAGAAGCTTCACGGCGCAAGGTATTGCCGATAATTGTTCCTATAGTAACCGCCACATCTGTCTTACTGATAACCTTGGCTGTCTTCCTATTTGTGCGGAGGCGTTTGAGATATGCTGAGCTGCGAGAAGATTGGGAAATTCAGTTTGGACCGCACAGGTTCTCATTTAAGGACCTATATTTTGCAACTGAAGGGTTCAAGAATAGTCACCTCTTAGGCACAGGAGGATTTGGAAGAGTGTACAAGGGTCTCCTTTCCAAATCTAACATGCAGATTGCTGTGAAGCGTGTGTCCCATGAATCAAGGCAAGGCATAAGAGAATTTGTTGCAGAGATTGTTAGCATCGGTCGCCTTCGGCATCGGAATATTGTGCAGTTACTTGGCTATTGCCGGCGCAAAGATGAACTTATATTGGTCTATGAATATATGCCACATGGTAGCCTTGATAAATACTTGTATTGTCATAGCAACCATCCTACTTTAGATTGGATTCAACGTTTCCGAATAATCAAAGGCGTTGCATCTGGTTTATTGTACCTTCATGGAGACTGGGAGAAAGTTGTCATCCATCGAGACGTCAAGGCTAGCAATGTGCTTCTTGATGCAGAAATGAATGCACGCTTAGGTGATTTTGGCCTTGCAAGATTATATGACCATGGTACTGACATGCAAACCACACACCTAGTTGGCACTATAGGATATCTTGCCCCTGAGCTAGTACGAAGAGGTAAAGCTTCACCCCTCACCGATGTCTTCGCCTTTGGCATATTTGTTCTTGAGGTTACTTGTGGACGAAGACCCATTGAACATAAGATGAATAGTGACAAGCTCCTGTTGGTAGACTGGGTGATGGATTGTTGGAACGAGGGATCACTTCTTGAGACAATGGATCCAAAGCTCCAAAATGAGTATGATGCTGATGAAGCATGCCTAGCGCTGAAACTAGGATTGCTTTGCTCACACCAATCCCCTGCTGCAAAGCCAAGCATGTGGCATGTCATGCAGTATCTTAACCATGACTTGCCATTTCCCGAGTTGGCGCCAATGGACATGGTGCAGAACCGTCAGGTGGACTCACCCGTTGCATATTGCCAATCAGTGGTGAGCGATGGCACCATCTCTGGCCTCTCCGAAGGGAGGTAGCATCCACCTACTGCCATATATAAACTTAAGTTTCAGTTTCTTTAATTTTGAGGCATATTTCCTCCTAGTAAAATGTTATACATGTATAATCTAGTATGATTGTAAGGCCTCCAAAACAAAAGGAAGTTACTACTAAATGCTTGTTTAAGCATTGGTTTGTGTAATCAAATATGTATTGTTACATACTTAAATCCAGCTAAAAAATGTGCTGCTAGCTAGTCTTCACATGTTGTTGGATATAGCCAGTTCTGTTCTGAAACAACCGTGGCCGGATCAGTCAGACAATCAGATAGTCAGTCAGTGATCTGCACGGTTAACTGTTCAGAGCTTATCGGCGTCAATGGCTTCGCCTTCCTCCTCGCCGTCGACGCCGGAGTCGGTGACGACGAACCTCCTCCAAAACCAATGGCGCGCCCACAGCTTCCCGACCTGCTCGATGGGCAAACCCTTGGTCTCCGGCAAGAGGAGGTAGACGAAGGCGGTCATGGCGACCAGCCACGCCGCGAAGAAGAAGAAGATGCCGGCCTTCATGTGGCAAAGCATGGCCAAGAACGACTGCGCCACCGCCGTCGTGAGCAGGAAGTTCACCGCCACGGCGATGCTCTGCCCCGCCGACCTCACCTCCAGCGGGAAGATCTCGCTCGGCACCAGCCATCCCAGTGGCCCCCACGACCACGCGAAGCCGGCGACGTAGACGGCGACGAGGACGATCAGCAGCAGCGCGCTCGCCTGGCTCAGCTCGCCGTCGTCGCCGAGCTGCGCCGCCATGATGGCGCCGATGAGTAGCTGGGAGATCACCATCTGGGCGCCGCCGGCGAGGAACAGCGTGCGGCGGCCGAACCGGTCGACGGCGAGCATGGATGCCAGCGTGGCGCCGATGCCGACCACCTGCTTGATGACCACCGCGAGCAGCGCCGCGCTCTCGCCCATCCCGACGGTGCGGAGGAGCACCGGCGCGTAGAACGCGATGGCGTTGATCCCGGTCATCTGCTGGAAGAAGGGGATCATCACCGCCATGACCAGCTGCGGCCGGTAGCGGCGGTGGGTGAGCATCAGCGTCAGCCCGCGCCTCGCTGTCACCTTGCACCTGTCGGCGGCGACGATATCGTCAAGCTCGTCGTCGACTCCGGCGCCGTCGCTGCCTCGTATCTTGCTCAGGAGAGCTCTCACCTTGCCGTGGTCCTCGCCTTGCTGGACGAGGCTGTTTGGCGTCTCGGGGAGGAAGACCGCGCCGACGGCGAGGAACGCGGCCGGGACGGCCGCGACGGCGAGCGACACCCGCCACCCCCACCCGCCGGCGATCTTCTCCGCGCCGAAGTTGATCAGCTGCGCCACGAACGCCCCGACGCTGACGCAGAGCTGGAACCCGTTGCTGAACGCGCCGCGCCGCGACGGCGGCGCCATCTCCGACAGGTAGAGCGGCACGGCCTGGTTGCCGAACCCGACGCCGACGCCGAGCAGGACGCGCCCGAGGATCACCGTGGCGAGGCCCGCCGCGGAGGCGCCCACCGTGGCGCCGGCGGCGATGGCCGCCCCCGCCACGAGCATGGACGCGCGCCGGCCGCGCCTGGCGGTGACGTGCGAGGCGAGGAACGTGGTGGCGAGGCCGGAGACGTAGAGCGACGACGTGAAGGCGGTGAGCAGCTGGCTGTCGAAGCGGCAGTAGTTGCTGACGCGCTCGCCGCCGCCGTGCATCCGGCGGTACACCTCCGGGAAGAAGCGCTCCAAGAAGGCGTCCATCGACGTGACGCCGCCTGCACCACCAATTGTAGCGCGTCGTTCATGGCGAGCTCGTCGTCGATGATGAGTGGGAGGGAGGGAGGGAGAGTGGTGGGTGGGTGGTTTTACCGGAGACGCCGATGTCGTAGCCGAAGAGGATGCCGCCGAGGCAGGCGGTGACGCAGGAGAGGACGACGAAGGAGGTGACGCGGCCGTCGTAGGGGTGGTGGATGAGCTCCTGGATCTCGGGAGCGGCGGCGGAGGGCGCCATGGCTGAGGTCGAGCACGCCGGCCGGCGGCCGGCAGCACGGAAGGGTAGTGTAGTCTGCTCGCCTTGTTCGGTGCTTGCTTATCCACTTTTTGTCATTTTCTTCTGTTTTCAGAGTAGTTGATGGCTGATTGTGTGGATGATTGCAGAATTGGCCCACGGGTTCTGATGTACATGCCATTGAAAGAAGAGATTTTTACAAGCCTGGAAAGGCGATCGAGAGTACTGTATTCCTTTACACTTACTTCCTCCCGCCCAAAAAAAAATATTCCTAACATCTTAAGATAGAATTAGTGAAGAGTGAGAATGACTAAAATATCTTTAATCATTGAAAAAATAGTAAGAGTGATAGGCAGGTAAAGAGTATTGAAGAGATAAAACTTATCGTTTTTCATGATGAAGGTAGGTAGGATGATAGAAATTGATTTTTTAAACAAAATTTAAACTTTAGAATTTAAATTTTTTTTTATGGAGGAAGTACTTAACAGTGTTCATCATTAGTGCTCGCTGCCATCGTAAATATTCAATGTTTAAGAAAAATATTTAATTACAATTATAAACGTTTTAAAAAGATCTCAACTACTTAGCTAAAAAAATGGTTTGGGAATTTGCTTTGAACAATACTTTTATAAGAATAATGTGTATGGACGATCTTTGTATGAGTGTATGATATAGTTTCATGAACTTTTAAAATGTATTTTTAGTTGATGTCATGTATGCTATTCCATACATTGATGTGGTACGCTACGGTGGTTCATATGTGTCAATGGGACCCACGTATCAGTCACATATATTTTGGGGAAAAAATTAAAACGTATTTTCTCCATTCTTTTAAAATTTTACTTTTAAAAGATTTACAAACATCTTACTCTCCTCTTTTAATTTTAATTTTATTTTTTCTATATGACTGATATGTGGGTTTCACTGACACCTAGGTGTCAACGTGGCATCTAGCAACGCACTTAGTAGGTTGGAGTCTGTTTGGATCTATATGACATTCATGATAACTTCAAAGACAAAAATAAAATGTATTTTGAGAGTTCAGGATATGGCATATTCTAAATTTACTCCTTTTATAATGCTAATTAAGTTCGTGAATTTGCGAATGGAAAGGGGAAAAAAATCAGTTCTTAACACTAATCCACGTTGGCAATCCACCGTGTCACCCAACGTAGGTGAAAGTGGTAAAAAAGAAGAGGAAAACTTGTCTGTTCAATGACATAAAAATTAAGTACGATAATAGGAGTGACATTTGAAGAGTCGTCGTTTATAAGAGTAGCAAATTTTCCAGGTCAAATAACCATTTATTTCCAAGTTAATTCCAATCGTGAAGGGCACGGCGCTCCAGCTTACAACCTATAAAATCACCTTAACTGCTTACTAAGTTACCATACTGACAGTGCACCTGCGCAACGACAAGTACTAGATCTACAAAATACAAGTCAACCAAGAAGCGATCGATGAGTAGCACAAAGCTCATCTTGTGCTTCCTACTTCTGTTCCTAACCCTCAATCTTTCAGCTTCCAGCACCGGTGGTGACCATGAAAGATTCATGTACGCCGGCTTCACTGGTGCCAATCTCACCATGGACGGCTCAGCAAAAATCATACCAACCGGCCTGCTTGCACTGACAAAGGACACGTTCAGGGCTCAAGGCCACGCGTTGCACCCGGCTCCACTCCGCTTCGGTCAGTCTAATGGAATGGTGACATCTTTCTCTGTTTCATTTGTGTTTGGTATTCTCTCTTCATTTGGTGACATAAGGGGCCATGGTTTCGCCTTCTTCATAGCTCCCACCAATAATTTCTCCTCCGCCTTCCCAATCCAGTTCCTGGGCCTTCTCAATGATAAAAACAACGGTAGTTTGAGCAACCATCTCTTTGCCATCGAATTTGATACCATCCGAAACAATGAGTTTGGGGACATCGACAACAACCATGTTGGCATTGACATAAATAGTCTGAATTCTATGCAATCCTATCATGCTGGCTTCTACGATGACAAGGGTGGCACATTCACAAACTTGAGCCTCATCGGAGGAGGGCCAATTCAAGTTTGGATAGAGTACGACGGGTACACCACATTAACTAATGTGACCATAGCTCCTCTTGGCATGGCTAGACCTATAAGGCCACTACTCTCAGTTACCCGTGACCTTTCTACAGTGTTTACAAATCAATCATATCTTGGTTTCTCATCCTCAACAGGCTTAAGCACAGCTCATCACTACGTTCTTGGTTGGAGCTTTGGTATGAACAGTCCCGCTCCAACCATTGACTCTACCAAGCTACCCAAGCTACCCGAACCACCTAATTATAGTGGTCCAAGAACTCAATCCATTCTATTAATCCTTCCACTAATAGGGTCAATTCTATTGGTATTAATTATTGGCATTGTGGTTCTACTTGTGAGGAGACAACTTGTGTACAAGGAGGTACGCGAAGATTGGGAAGTTGAATATGGTCCACGCCGGTTTGCTTACCAGGATCTATTTCGCGCAACTAGAGGATTTAAGAACAATAACTTGGTAGGAATAGGTGGGTTTGGAAAGGTGTACAGAGGGGTTCTTCCAATATCGAAATTACAGGTTGCTGTTAAGAGGGTATCATATGGCTCAAAGCAGGGTATTAAAGAATTTATAGCTGAAGTAGTTAGTATAGGGAATCTCCAACACCGCAACATTGTACAATTATTTGGATATTGCCGGCGCAAGAATGAACTCCTTTTGGTATATGACTATATGGAAAATGAAAGTCTCGACAAGCACTTATACAATTTTCATGGCCAACCAACTTTGAATTGGTCACAAAGGTTCAAAATTATCAAAGACATTGCCTCGGGCCTGCTCTACTTACATGAGGAGTGGGACAAAGTTGTAATTCATCGAGATGTCAAGGCAAGCAACGTGCTTATTGATAAGGAGATGAATGCAAGATTAGGAGATTTCGGTCTCTCACGACTATGTGACCACGGCAGTAACCTACATACAACAAATGTTATCGGCACAATAGGATACTTAGCTCCAGAGCTAGTTCACACAGGCAAAGCAACTACACTTAGTGATGTCTTTGGTTTTGGCATCTTCCTTCTTGAGGTTTCTTGCGGGCAAAAGCCTATCAGGCAAAACTCGGAAGGTAAACATCTCATCTTGGTTGATTGGGTGGTTGAGAATTGGCATAAGGGATCACTTCTTGATACAATGGATAGAAGGCTCCAAGGTAACTACAATATCGATGAAGCCTACCTTGCACTGAAGCTAGGATTATTATGCTCACACCCATTTTCAAACGCAAGGCCCAATATGCGGCAAGTTCTGCAATACCTCGATGGCGATGCGCAGTTGCCAGAACTAAATGTGTCCGTGATGTAGAAATTAAAGAAGCAGTCAACTTGTCCGCAATGCCATCGTTTCCGTTTCAAGTGTGATGAGAGATGAGCATTTTGGTTCAACTATACTTGCTGCCTCTGACTACACGTGGAAGATGATTTGGCTATATTAATTCAATGTGTGCTGCTAATCTGGCGCAGAGAATTTGGACGGCCCAAATGATACAAAATATTGCTTGTTTGCTATTTTCTATATATTGATATTTTATTGAGGACTAATGTATACTGTATTTATCGAACGTAATAAGAGGCGCCCTGTATGTCCAAGTTTATTGCTGCAAAATCTGTCATATTTTTAAGAAAGAGTGCGTAGAAAATTCCATCACTTGTAGAGATTAAAGTAACGATCTTTTATCCGAGTCCCCAAAACACAAATATCTCGGCTAGATTAAAAACCGGTACTAAACCGGTTCTAAAAATCCAAGTCCCTATAAACATCTTAAGTCTCGGTTGGTGTTACCAGTCGCTACTAAAAATGTATTTTTAATATCGGTTGGTAACACCAACCGAGACTAATTAAAGCTAGAGGATCTTTAGTCCGGGTTGGTATTATCAACTGGTACTAAAGATGTATTTTTAGTACCGGTTGATAACACTAATTTGGACTAAAAATATTCCGGTACTAAAGATGTCTCCAGGATTAGTAAAAAAAAGCATTTGTATTCAAGTTAGATATGTGTAGTAGGTGGGATATGGTAATGCACGTGAGGGTTGAGGTAGATTTTGAGTTTCAATCCCACATTCTACATATAATTTATGATTTAGTATGCATCTTTATTAAAGGTTCTTTCAACCGGTACTAAACATCGAGATCTTTAGTCTTGATTTACTGGTCGATTTACTGGTCTCGGTTGCTACAACCGGTAATAAAGGGGATTGTTAATTGGTATTAAAGCTGCTTTCTCTAGCGGTGCATGTTAATCAGATAAAAAGTTAAAAATATAAGTAACTATAAGCGGGAAAAGCCTTGATGAGCTCCCTGATTGACGAATAGAGATTTGCTCTGGTCCAACAAAAAGTACCTCGAGGTATCGGTACCTTACGGTACCAAATCGTTTCCGATCGTTGGATCTAGCTGGGCAGGATGAGCATTGTTAGACTCAACGATTTGAAACGATTTGGCCTGTCAAAGGTTTTAATTACCATTGGCATACTTTCACCCATTAGAGATCAGGTGTAGTCATCAGTGACCACTAATCCCTGACTGGGGCCAAATCCGTCAAGATGAGAGTTAGGGCCTGTCAGAGATGACCGGATCCGGCGTAGTGCGACAATTTCGAGAAGTCACCAGGAGAGAGAACAATAATGGAAAAAATAAGAGTGCCCGTTTTACCCCTTAGATGGTACACTGAACTACTGGTACCTCCTGCTGAACTACTAGTACCTCTGCTGGACAGTAAAAATCATCTCTTTTTTTCGCTAAGGCCTTGTTTAGTTGGAGAAATTTTTTGTTTGATTGTCACATCAGATATACGGACACATATTTAAAGTTTGAAACGTAGTCTAATAACAAAACAAATTACAGATTCTGCCAGGAAACTGCGAGACGAATTTATTAAGTCTAATTAATCCGTCATTAGCAAATGCACGTGTACTGTAGCACCATATTGTTAAAGCATGGTGCAATTAGGCTTAAAAGATTTGTCTCACAAATTACACACAATCTGTGTAATTAATTTTTTTTAACTATATTTAATACTATATGCATGTGTCCTAATATTCGATGTAACATCGTGAAATTTTTTGTTGTGGGAACTAAAGAGGGCCTAAGACTCAATCTACCGGAAAATGTCATATCACATGGTCCCCTATTCTGACTGGTTGTCTTATGGCCGGAAGGTTCAAACAAGGAAAAGGTTCATGTCAATCAACCACTCGTAGAACTTACAAGTGAGGACATGTTTAGTTACCATGCAAAAATTTTACACCCTATCACATCGAACGTTTGAATACCTAAATAAAGTATTAAATATAGGCTAAAAATAACTAATTGCATAAATTGAGACTAATTTACGAGACGAATCTTTTAAGCCTGATTGCTCCATGATTTAACAATGTGGTGCTATAGTAAACATTTGCTAATGACGGATTAATTAGGCTTAATAAATTCATCTCGCAGTTTATTGACGGATTCTGTAATTAGTTTTTTATTAGTGCCCGAACATCCCATACGACATCTTATATAATAGCTAATGTGACACGCCCTGAGTAATTTTCGTCTGCCGGAAATTAATTAAGACCCTGAAACTTGGGAAACTTGGCTTGGTATATCACGCTTTAATTTCATGAAAAGGACGTTAACCTAACTGCAAATATAACCACACGATTATGTGGACAATTTATATTCTTTTATATGTATACTAGTAATCTTCAAAATGTCTTTGAATTAAAGGAGAAAAATAAGATGGTATGAATTCTGAGAGAAGAAAAAAAATGAGATTATCTAACTTTTAATCGGACTTAATTCAGCTGTCATTGCAATTATGTGCATGGATGAGGCAATTCTGACTGCAAGGACGCAAAACTAAGTCCCTGTTACACTACTAGGCCAAAACTAAGTTTGGGAAGCTTTGTTTTTACTTATGTCTCTATTATACTATGGCTCTATGCCCAAATTATGTTGAGATTATGGGCATATAAGGATTTAATTTATTCCATAAATAAATCATGACATTACAGATGAAAACTAGCATGAACGCATCATTAGATCTACACATGTAAACTACGCAGAATAACATGAACAGATCAAATATGCGCAACATATTGAACACGTACCGAGGTGACGAAAAGACCGGCTGCTTGGTCGAAACTTTTCGCAGGTGTCTACGAAGGCACGAAACACGCGAGCGAAGAGGAAGGCGAGCCGTCGTGAACGAACAGGGAGCAGTCGCGCGAAGCGCTTCCCAAAAACCTTATTGCCGCCTTCTCCCGGTGCAGGACGTCAAAGGCAGAGGTTCCGGAGACCTGCTCTCCCGATCGCTGGTGCACGCCGGCGAGCGGGATGGAGTAGTCTACGAGCGACGGCGCAGTACAGAGTAGGAGGCAAACCCTAGATTGATTTTCGCATATATTGCGTGAAGACGGCGGGTCGGTTTATATAGAGAAGGGTCGCTTGATCAGGGCGCCCGCACGATCTCTACTGCGCGTAACCGAACCGGATAAGTCGCGCGTAACTTATCCGGACTCCACGCCGTTTGCACGCACCGGATTTTTCGGAATTTGCAGCAAAACAAAACTGCAAAAGGAGGCTGCATCTGCGCAAGGGTGAGGAGCCAATTTTTCGGACCATTCGACGCGTACGTCGTGCACGCGCGCCGCCTGCCCTGCCCTGCCAGGCCAGGCCAGGCCAGGCGAGCGAGCGCGCGCGTGTGTTTCCCCTCTTCTCTCCACCACACATGCTTCAAGTGGCTAGGAGGGCATCCTCCCTTTTAAGGAGGTCCCCCTCTCCTAGAATAAGCAAGGTGGTACTAAACTCCACATGCATGCCATCCCATGAGGTGGGCTTTTGTGATTTTCCAAAGAATTAATCTTCGAGTGGGCTAAGGCCCATTCATTAATTCCAACAATCCCCCACCAAATCTCAAAATCCCACTGAGATTTGCCTTTTCCAATGTACTGTTTATATACCAGCGGTTCGATGGAGACCAATTAAGGTTGAACATCCACCTAGAACTCCAAGCTACACTTACTCACAACTTGAACAATGGACTACGCCTTGAATTGCAAGTCTTGTGCAAGCAAGTTTCACTCAAAGTCTTATCTGGTACTAGACCGTCTGTAGACTACCCCTCGGGTGGAGCGTATAAGTCATACTCCTAGGTCTTTAGTAAGCTTCCTAGAAGATTCACCCAAAATCTTCATAGACTGCGACCAACAGTCAAGCTCACAAAGGTGAGTTCCTTCAAGAATGCTCTGCAGGACAACATCTTTGCTAATTAAAGCCAACAGAACTCATTAAGGCATAGCCAACCTGCCTTGCAGCTCACGAGAGTATATGCATCTTCACTTGGATAGGGTATATATATTGGTACTCTCCTCTAGTTTATTAATGGTTTGTTCTTCCCAGGATCTAATTCACGGGATCTCCGATCACATAGACTGGGTTACCACCATAGTATAACTCACATGGGTCTCAAACCCATCTCCTTCGATGCATTGTCTATCACATTTCGTGATAGTCCCTTCGTGAAGGGATCTGCCAGGTTTCTCGCTGTTTGGATGTAATCCAACGTTATAACTCCGGAGTTTCTTAATTTCCTGACAGACTTCAATCGTCTTTTCACATGTCTAGACGATTTCATATTATCCTTAGAACTATTCACTTTGACAATTACCGTTTGATTGTCACAGTTCATAAGGATAGCCGGCACCGGTTTTTCAACAACAGGCAGATCCATTAATAGATCACGCAGCCATTCTGCCTCAACAGTAGCAGTATCCAGTGCCGTTAGTTCTGCTTCCATGGTTGACCTCGTCAAAATTGTCTGTTTGCAAGACCTCCATGAAACAGCACCACCACCCAGTGTGAAAACATATCCACTAGTGGCTTTGATCTCATCCACATCAGAGATCCAGTTAGAATCACTATAACCCTCCAGTACCGCAGGATACCCAGTATAGTGAAGTCCCAATTCCACAGTACCTTTCAGATAGCGCATTACTCGCTCAAGCGCACGCCAGTGATCATCTCCCGGATTAGAAGTAAATCGGCTCAACTTGCTCATAGCAAAGGAGATATCAGGCCTAGTTGCACTAGCCAGGTACATCAACGAGCCAATGATTTGGGAGTATTCCAGTTGATTCCTAGCAATTCTCTTGTTCTTGCGAAGCAACAAGCTAGGATCATAAGGTGTTGGAGAAGGCTTACTATCAATGTAGCCAAAGCGATTCAAGATCTTCTCCACATAATGGGACTGCAAGAGAGTAATCCCATTCTCACCTCTAATTAGCTTAATGTTTAAGATAACATCAGCTACTCCCAAATCTTTCATATCAAAATTTTGAGACAAGAATGATTTAACCTCATTTATCACCTCAAGGTTTGTCCCAAATATCAGTATGTCGTCAACATACAAGCACAAAATAACTCCCTCACCCCCACCATGGCGATAGTACACACATTTATCTGCCTCATTGACTGCAAAGCCTGCAGATGTCAATGTTTTGTCAAATTTCTCATGCCATTGCTTAGGAGCTTGTTTCAGACCATACAAAGACTTCAACAATTTGCACACTTTGCCTTCTTGACCTTCAACTACAAACCCATCAGG